TCCATGCCGGCAGATTACAGGAAGAGTGTAAAAAGGTGATGTAAAAAGGAAATGCTGAATAAACAGTGCTTTTGCAGATCAAGTTATGTTGACTATTTTTTTTTTCCAGTACTGGGGATTGAACTAAGAATGTTGCACTTGCCAGGCAGGTGCCAGAACCTCTGAGCTAAATCCCTGGCCCTACATTGGCTATTTTAACTCCAGAGGCTATTTTATCCTCCGTGTAGGATATACAAAAGGTGACCATTAGACAAAGGCTAGGTGACAAGAGGGATGGGGACAGAAGCTACTGTCCATGGCTGCAAGGAGGCCTGGCTTCTCTGCTAAAAGGGGTTTCAGTTTGCAGTAAGGACAAAGCTTGCCCTGCATAATGCCCCATGTCTGTAGGTGTATTTGCACAGTGAACCTCTGTGCTGTGTGCTGGTGGCCTCGCCCCACAGAGGTTCTGGTCTGCAGGTGCTATAACCTGCCTTGCCTCACTTCACCCTGCTTCAGCCTCAGCAGGGCTGCGTGACCGGATGGCCAGGCTGGGGCACTTTCCCTGCATCCAGAAGCATTTACTTATTGCTGGGTAAATAAGCTCTCTGCCTTAGCCTCAAGGCTGGGCAGGAAGCATGAGGAGATAAAAATCCTTCCACCTTTCCTGGTGTTCCATCTTTTCCTTTCCTCCTCTCTGGTGAACCTCCCCTCATTCTTTCCAAATCCTTCATACAACTCTAAAGCTGCACATGACCACACCAGGCAGTTGGTCAGGAGGGATTAGCCTCTGTACCTTATACTGGGCTGCTTGCCATGCTCCCTCTTTGGGGCAAAGATGAGGGAGGTCTTGGATGCGCTGTGACTAACAGTTGTCCCGAGCATGAAGAGCCCTACGTTGCCCCTTCAGTGGTGGGCAGGTTAGAATACTAGGTTTTAGCCAGGTGTAGTGGGGCATGTCTACAATTTCAGCACTCTAGGGGACCGAGGAAAGAGGATTGCCAAGTTTGAGCCTAGCCTGACTGATTTAGCAACCTAGTGAGAACCTGTCTCAAAATTTTAAAAAAGGGCCGGAATGTAGCTCAGTACAAAGGCCCTGGGTTCAACGCCCAGTACTAAAAACAAAACAAAACAAAAACTACATCTTGTTCAGCCGGTTGACCAGGTCTCTCAGCCTGCACCTTTGAGTCCCAGAGGGAAGATGACACTGCACGCATGGAAAGCTTCACCCCTTCATCACACTCCTTCCGTTCACATGTGCCTTAAGGTAAGAGAAGGGGAGTAGTTTGAAGGAAGAGAACAGGAAGCAGCTGATGACATTTCAGCCGGTTGACCAGGTCTCTCAGCCTGCACCTTTGAGTCCCAGAGGGAAGATGACACTGCACGCATTGAAAGCTTCACCCCTTCATCACACTCCTTCCGTTCACATGTGCCTTAAGGTAAGAAAGGGGAGTAGTTTGAAGGAAGAGAACAGGAAGCAGCTGATGACGTGGGAGATCCTAGCCTGGCTGGGTACAGAAAGTTTCTCTTTAGAGTAGTAGTTCTGAACATTTATCGAGTTGTCTATACCTTTAAGGGTCTAATGGGAGGTACAAATTCTCTCCTCAGAAAAAAACATACGTCACTGATGTGAATAATTTGCTTACAATCTCCATACTCTTTGAAACCCCTTTTTACCACCCAGGACAACATGGGCCATGGCACAATAATTCCTATTTTAGAAGCAAGTGAAGCAGTCACTATCAAAAGATTCTCAAAAGGCGGCTGGAAAAGCAGCCTTAACTTCAAAGAAAGTTTCCCCACCACTGGAAATGCAGAGCCAACCTCATGTAGATGAGCGGATGGCTCCTCAAGGACATATTTAAGTTCACTGGGAGTGCATTTTTCTGCTCTAACAGCTGTATTTCTACCATTTGTGCTAATTAATTTGCCATTCTCAGTTTAGATGTGTGTGGAGGGAAGAATAATCCCGTTCTGAATTAAAATCCACTGATCCAGCTGGAAGTGATTTAAACTCATCATCAAAAGAATTCGGTCTTAAAAGATGAATTGTTTGCTTCTGTAAATATTTGTTTTGCTTCTTCCTGCTCTTCACATCAGGGCAAAGCGGTAGTTTTCCTTTGAAAGCTGGTTTGGGGAAGCCAATGAAGAGGGACATTATAGTGTCAGTACCAGTGAGGACCAGCAGATAGCTCCTACTGCATAACTAACAAATCCAAATTTCAGGAGCTCAGCGCTGCAGTTTATTTCTTGCTTGTGCAAAAAGCCAAGCTGCCTCTTCTTTGTCAGCTCAGCCTTCTAGGTCACCTCAGGTCTTCTGCCCTTTCAAGTCCCTTACTCATATTGTCATGGTAGGAAGGGAAAGGACAGCTGGTGAGATGACCACCAGCAGTTATATCCTCCAACTACATTTCTTGGATAAGCCAAGTCTCAGGGTGATACCTAATTTTATGAAGGCAGGGAAGCAAGATCCACCAGGGGGCCTCAAGGAAAATGAGAACCAAATGATGATAAAAGCTGCAATGCCTCCTTCAGGGACTGAGACATACTTGAAAATGAGAATAAATTCAGAGGAATATGTGTATCAAGAAGTTTCCTGTGAATGGGAAAACTACCTCCCCCGCTTAGATTTTAAAAAAGGGTAAGTCTACTGCTGGCCCTGATGGAGTAACAGAAGCCAATTTACTCTCAACCACTTCTTAAAGAGAAAACCTGACGCAAGCTATGGAGTGTTTTCAGGTATTAGACAATGTACAGTGCAGTACTCTGATCACTGAGAAGAAAAACAAGCTGAGCTCCAAATTACTGGGAGTGCAGTTGAAGTCCACTATACAGGGTAGGCAAATAGAGCTTGGTGGTCTCACTAGTTGAAGAGACAGATGAAAGTCGGGGAGGCCAATATGCCTAAAAGATGAAGGGTAGGGTACACGAGAGAAGGAGGCTACAGATAGAGCAAGTGTGTGAGCAAGTGCTTAGTCCAATCATATTACTGTAACAAAACACCATAAACTGAGTGACTCATAAACAAGAGATATTTTATTTCTCACTGTTCTGGAGCCTGGGAAGTCCAATACTAAGGACCAGTAGAGGGCAGGTTCCTCATAGCAACTTCCTGCTGTGTTCACACATGGGAGAAGGCGCAAACAAGCTCCCTTGGCCTCCTCAAGAAAGCAGAGATGTGCAGGGGGGACAGAGTGACTATGGATCCTGGAAGTTATAGAAGAGTCTCCTAAAGACATCGGGACTGCATGTTATCAGAAGCACAAGGGTGATAAGTCACTGAACATCCATTGGCAGGAAACACATTCCTGGAACTTGTGCAGGGCTTGAAATAAGATATGCAGTCCCAGCTATGCTCTACAGACATTAGTATAGGACATCCGACAGGATTTTTAAAATTTTCTTGAGGCAAGGTCTATTATAGTTCAGACTGGTCTTGAACTATGTAGCCCAGGGTAGCCTGGAACTCACAGTGATCCTTCTGCCTCAGCCCCGACTGCTGGGATTACAGGCACGAGACACCATGCTTAGCTTGACAGGACTCTTGGAAAGGCATCACCTTTACAGGGGACAAAGTTAGTTTTACACTAAAATGCTGTCCTGGTCCCTATGAAGGCAAACCTATTATCCCAAACTGAAGCTCTGTGCCCATAAAACAGTAACTTCTCACTCCCCTCCCCAGCCTCTGGCACCCGCCCTGCCACTTCCCACACCTGTGCAGCTCACATGGATGGAACCAAGACAGGAACTGCCCCTTTGCGATTTTTTTCTTTAGCCTGGAATAGTACTGACAAGGTTCATCATAAAGATTTCTCCATCTTCTTGTGAGCTTTTTTTTTTTTTTTTTTAAAGTTCTACTACTTTAAATAATATACTGTAATAGTTTGGACTCCCCATCTTTAGGCAAGATCTACTGATTAACCCACTAAGGTGGGCTAGCTGTGTTGGAAAAGGGTGTCATCAAAGTCCATGTAAGAGTGGCTGTGGCTGCAGTGTGTCCTTCCATGGGGCAGAGGGCACCCTCGTGGCCTGTGGGGGGCAGATCTCCATCTGCGAAGGCCTTTCCTGCTGTGGGCTTGATGTGCACTTTTCTTCTGCTCAGGGATTTGTTCACATGGCACTGGCCAGCCCCACTGCTCCATCTGTTCCCAGGGCAGAAGAAACGGCTCACCTAGAGCGTGAGACCAGTGCATGGAGGTCCTTGGCTATGGGGGCCAATGCCCAAGAGTGAAGCTGATCGTGCTCTGGCTCTTCTCTGTGTGAGCAAAGCATGTTCCATGCAGTGCCTGTGGGGCACAGTAACCAAAACACCCATCACCTGTAGGATGGGCTGACCCCTGGGCTGCCACTCCTGGGGGTAGGCAACTAGTATTATCTGACTGACAAATAGACCTAACTTTTCTTCCACCATGTCTGATCAAATCCTTATCTGCTATCTGCCCACTGTCAAGATTTGTAAGTTACCTTACCGTGTAACTGTCAATCATCTGTAATATCTGAAGGTTCGTAAAATTAAAAATCAAACATCTCTATATAAAAACTACCTTAAAGAGAGAAATATCCGAAAATTCCTAAGATTCTGTCACTTGAAGGAGAATCTTCTATGTATCACATCCAAATGGGTTATTTTAAATTTCTTTTTATTCTCTTTACTTTTCCAGGATCACAACCAGCCACTGTCATCCTCTGTCCTGAGGCATCTCCTTTCCCACCTTCTTGGTCCTCTCCTCACAATAGCTGGGAGGAGGATGCAGGGCATCAGCATTTGTTTCCCACACTTGCAAGTGGTTCTGATATGCTTCCAGGACTAACAACAGATCTAAGGGCTAAAATTATTAATCCACATCAGTAGAAATATGTGTTGGGGAAAAAACTGATTACCTCAGTCATTTCTGGCAGCTTGAATAAGAAGCAAGTAACAACAAACAGCAAGAAACTCCCAAAATAAACAAACAAAAATCACACAAAACCAGTTGTATTTTGAAAAAGTGCTTTGAGAATTTACTGTACATTTTAAACAATTTATATGTTGACTTCTACATGCTTACATTTGTGTAAAATATTTATACATATTCTTTACAATTTGTACATATATTAAATGGTTGTATCATAAACACTGTTTTTGGGGGATTTTAAAAAAGAAAAATCCAGCGGGGAAAATTATTTATAAAACATTAACAAAAACCCGTGACATTGAAGAACAAGAAGTTCTCATATTTGTGTTCATTTGATTTCCCCATCTACTTATTTTTTGGTTTCACTTAATTATACTAGCCCAGACTTTTCATTTTCCATAATTATTAGGTCAAGAAATGATAGGAGATCAGGCTGTAAGGCAACAGTGGAAGTTGGAGTTGCAGTCTGCAGGATAAAACAGTGAGTGTTCTGATTTCAAGTGGACAGCTGGTTTTGCTCTGTACTGTTAGCTGAAGTACCAGTGATCAGGAAACTATCTGAAGGTTAGGACACAGGGCAAGTATCACTTTACTGTTTTCTTTAGCACATAACCACACACAGTTCAGGATGCCACTTGTCTCAGTCCCTAAACTTTCCCTTGTGGTGGGGAGGGGACACACTAAACCTCTGGCTTTCATCTTTCAGAGAACACTGGCTGGTCTGCTGCTCTATATTGCAAACCAAGTGGCTGCCAGGCTATGCCCAGTACTTCTGTCCAGCGGACAGCTGAGGGAAGGGCAGAAGGGGTGGCAGCTTTGGGCACAGGAATCAGGATGGCTACCCACCCATAGGGGCAATGCCAGAGAAGTTTCTAAACAATCCTTCAACTTTCCTGACTTACTCTTTCTAGCATAGAACACATCTTACCGAGGATTAGGAACAGTGCAAGGAAACTGCGCTGTCTTCTGGTAGGAGCAGCAGGCAGTTGTGCCTGTGAAGGGACAGGCAACGTTTCGCTTCCCACACTCCATGAGGGGTACAGGTGACCTGGGGGCTCCACTCTGCTTCCTCCCTCCTGTGATGTAAGCACCTGAGTTGTAGCTATGCCAGCAAAGGGCGTGCAGCTTTCCTAAACAGACAGGAACCCCAAAGGACTGAGAGAGTTATAAAAATATACAAACATATATTTTTTTTATTCTGGCATATTTCATATTTTTAAGAAAGCAATTAGTAATTATCTGACATTGGGTATGAATTAGAAGATCAAGGGTAACATATAAATTACAGTCTTTTGTAAAATATAAGTGGGGGAACCTTTAATTCTCCATTCAAAATTCCGATAAATGTAAGTACTTTCCAAAAATATAGACAATTTCCATTGGTTTAAATAATGAGTGGGAAATGAACATAAGAAGATCATCACTAAATAACCTATTAACCAATGCATTTTGGCTGGTTTGTAAAGAGAACAGTTTTTTTCAACTAATTTCTTTTTGGTTTTCTTTTCCTTTTTTTTAATGATAGGAAAAAACAAAAACAAAACAAACACAAAACAAAAAAACTTTGAATTGCATTGCCCCAAGTCAGAAAGAAGCACTTCGGAGATTTCTTCATGTTCCATTCTGTTCTACATAACTGGAAAGCGGCTGAGGGCCTGCCTCAGCTTTTCTGCAATCTGGTAAAAGAACAAAACAATTTTGAGATATCATTATCACTCCATGCAAATCTTTGGTCTTTTATCCTGGCACCCACTTGGCCTCTGCATGGCTGCTGGCAGACCCCTCACCGCAGCCTTGCCACCACCTGGGACCCAACTGCCTACAGGAAGCCCTGTTCTAGTCTACTCGCCCACAGGGGGCCACAACTGGGCCTCTTCTCTGCATCAGCTCTATTTTCAGACCAGCAGTTTATCAAGAGACTGGTGGTGGCTCTGTCTTGTACACCTATCCAGAGTCCATTTCTCCAACAAGTAGGAATGCCAAAGACCTCCTGGGTGGCCATGACTCCCTGAATATACCATGCTCTGTTACTGCATGCTGTGTGGCCTCTGTTACCTGCTAATGGCAGACTGCAATTTTGTTTATGTGCCTATGCCTCCCCCAAAGAAACTAGGTGCTCCTTGAAGGCACAGATATATTATCTATCCTGGGATCCCAAATACCTGGAGTAGCGGCTTAGTATGTAGGAGGTACTCAATACAAGTTTGTTCCATGAACAAATATGCAAAATTTGATAAGGGTTACTCTGCCATAAAATTATGTCACATCTAGAACCTGGCAACATAGTATCAGCCACTTAAATTTATGCAAAGACAGCGATGAAAAATATGTTTTTTTAAAATTTTGAATTACAATGTTACATACCCTACTTGGGCTTGAAAATTCAACAAATCAACATTCCCAGAGTTTTAGGAGTTGCCCATCTAGCATATTCTCAGAGACAAATATAATCTGCTACATTTAGAATGCTGAAAGGCAAAGACTCATGGTACAGATTTATGAGAAAGTGTGCAGCAGGGAGATGCTGCCTGAGTTCTTCCCACGAGCACATCTCTCAAAACTGTTTGTAACACATAATTCACAAATATGCATTAGCACACCAATTATAGTGCCCTTTCAAGAATCAGCTACTGGAGGTCAGTGTTTTGGGCAGTGCACAGCCCAAGGGCGACATGTGCATGGATGCGCGTTAAGGGCTGACCCACCTTTACCCTCGAATGCATGGGAGTGGCACGGATGGGAGAACATATCACAGACTGGGCAGGCCCCTGGCAGTCACAGTAGAGCAACAGGCCTTTCCTCTGATGTCTGGAGCTCCATTTATAAGGTCTGTTTTCTATGCACCCTGCTAAGTAAAAGCATCACTATGTGTGGTCATGAAAGTTTAAGTTTTCACTCTGGTTTTCTGAAGGATGAATGTTGAAGGCTTTGCACTTTCTTCTGGTTTCCTTTGGGACACATGAAACCTGGGTCACACACAAAGGCTGCCTTTAATTTCTTTCCTCAGCTGAGGCTAGAGCCCCTGGACAGCAGCATGACCTCATCTCATTCAGCACTGTCATATGCAGAGGCACAGAGGCTGTGAAGGAGGGGAAAGCCATACAATTGGAGCTTCCTCAGGTTTTGGAACTAGTACCCATTGATCCAATACTCCTTCCTCAAAAGAAGCTCTTTCCAACCCAGTGTTACTCAAAAAGGAAAAGGTGGAAAGACTTAAAAGGGATTTTAGAAAACGAAACTTTGTTCAAAACTTAACCTCCTTTGATTTATTACTTAGTATTAAAGAATACAGATGAACTTCATATAGTTGAAGTTACTTACTATGAATCCACTCTCCTCTTGCAAGTGCAAGAGGCATGGAGTGGGTGTTCACTTACTGTTTCATAAAACTGCACTTGCTGCTCCAGGTACAGACGGATGACGCTATTGTAGTCATAGATCCGGTTACTATGAAAGTGATTCATCTCAGCTACAATCAAAACCAAGGCAGCGGTCAGCTTCCCTTCAAGATTTCAAATGACAACACCTGGTTTCTCTGCTTAATTGTGAACTAATCTAGCTTCTGAGCAGTGCCTGTTCTTAGCATCTCATTTCATGCAGTTGACAGAAAAACTTGACAGTCAACAGCAACCACTGCTTCCCAGGAAGTGGATGATGTTCACTGATGTGCATGTTAAATACTATGAATATCTTTCCTTCCTCTGCTCAAGCACGTGCCATCAACCCACACATTAAAACACAGGAAACATCCCTTTGCTCATCCTATTTGCTCAAACACGTTCAGATCTCTAACTTTTTACTACCAGTCAAACTATGCCTGAAATGATTACTCCCACACTCCCTTTGCATTCCATGGTTCTGGGAAACAGAGTCTGCTAAAAGCTGAGCTTTGAAATGTGACAGAGCTTTATGGTACAGGAGTGTAATAGAAGAAGTCTTCATGTCTCTAAGAGATAAAAATATACAGATTAAAAAATACAGATTTAATCAAGATGTCAATGTATCAGGTATACGTATAAAAAATTAAATATTACAGACATATCAACACTGGCATCTGGTAGGCAAGGGGCTTATGATGGCATTTTTAATTGGCTCTTATTTATTTAACTGTTGTTCACACTTGCATGTCTCTCCAGCAGGTGTGTCTGGGGGGGAACTGGGAGGCGAAACAGATCTCCATTAGCTACTCATAATGCTCTTTCTTACCTTGCAAAGCGTAAGACATGGTGCCGACTCGCTTCACCATAGTCTGTTTGTCTTGTGGAGTGATTTTACTAGTTGCAACTAGCTTATCACTTTCTTTCACTTTTTCTATTGCTCCCTGTAGAATATAAAATGCAATGATATTAATAAGAAAGCAAAAAGTACTAGTCATTAGTTTAACAATACTAACATGCTCTTTAACTCTCTTGCTACCAAATGGGAAAACAAGTAGGATTGGAAAGCATCTAAACGTAACTGCCTTTAAGTACCTTGCAAGCCAAAAGGATTAAAAAATGTAACTAAGCTAAAGTTTACAGTTTTACTCTACAGTAAAAGAGACAACCAAACAGTATACTGTCCTCTAGCATTTATATGCCACTGGCATTTTAAGAGTAGTATGCAATAGGAAAACAGGCATATTAGTAGGTGCAGAAGTCATGTAATTAAGTGTAGTGCAATGTATACCCATTGTCTGTCTGTCTCTCCTTTTATGAAACAGAGTATTTTATAAGCTGGTGCTTGAGTGGGCTAACTATAAGGCTTAATTTTATTTTGATTTTTGTAAGAGGCACTGAATCAATAGTTAGATGGAAGTAATTGCAAAAACCTGCCAAACATTTCTCATTCCAGAATCATCATTCTGCTTGTTTTTTAGGATTGTTCGGAAAGAAAAACTCAATACTCTGTGCATAAAGTAGGCTCCATTCCTACAACTCTAATTCTGCTGACATACATTCCTGTATGTAACTGCTCAGTTTCACATTACTGGAAGTTATTCAAAGGTGATGTAGCTATGCTACCACTTTGTGAAACCCAAAATGACAAAGCAATGCTCTGAAATGCTGACATGGCAACACTGTTAAGATCACAGACCAGTCCTTTGTAGAGCCTTTCTTAAGAAATCCAAGGACATCTCAATAAACAAGTACCACACACCACAGCTGGTGAGCTACTCGTGATGGAGGTAACACACAAATTTTGAAAAGGGGAAAGAAAAATTAATGAGAGTTAAAATGTGAGGACTCCCCAAATCAATTTTCAAATTTATCTTAAAAATCTTCCTTGTGGGAATTACAGTTGCTTTTTCATAAATAAAGATATAAAACTACACGGACGGCACTGTGTATGTCTGAAACCAATCTACCTGCTGTCCTCTGATGTGAATGCCTATGGTCAAGTTACCTTATGAGCACCAATGATATCTGGGAAGCAGCCGAGAAAGCCTTTATACTCATGGTTACATTCCATCAGGAAATGGAGATCTTTCTTTGGCTACAACAAGACACAGGCTGGTTGTTACTGGTAGAGGAATTCAGAAAATCAAGGTCAAGGAAACTAGTATGTGAGAATTGTATTAACCAAATTCTCCATGTACTGAGTGCTAAGCATTCTGATTAGTTTTCTTAAAAGAAAATAATCCCCAAGACTATTATGCTCTGAATCATAGATAGTAAAGAAAATGATAAAACATTATGCAATTTTTAGGTTGGTTTGTAAAATCATGTATTTTGTGGTGGTCCAAAACAACACTGTAGCAGACATCCCTGCCCAGTACTAGCGGGCTATGAGTGGTATATGCTGCTTCTTCTTCTTCTTTTTTTTTTTTTTTGGTACTGGGGATCAAACTACGGCCCTTGAGATTGTAAGGTAGGTGCCAGAACCACTGAGCTAAATCCCTAGCCCTGGTATATGCTTCTTGATTTCCCTAATTTGGCTATACTGTTTTACATCAGGAGTCAGACAGAAGCCCTACATGACTCAAATGGGCATGTCAGATAGCAGAGCTGGGCTAGTACTGCTTCTTTGCTAATGTCTGTCATAGAGGCCTAAGTCCTGGTCTATGAAGTGGCAGGGCTCTGCTAAGCTACATGCAGCTGAGGTCAGTGCGATCCCAATTAAAATCCTTTCCCCTGAATTATGGCATCTCTCTGACCTAGTGGTTTGCCAGCTAACTGACCCTGGTCCCACTACCTTTTTGCTCCATCCAAGCAAGATAAACAGTGCTTACTCCCTTACAACCCTGCCTGGTGCCATCATGCCAACTGTTTGGCAGTATTTCACTAGATGCTCCCTATTCCTTCCCATGGCTGTATTCAATAAATACTGGATGTTCTTAGGGGCCTTTGTCTTTGTAGCCTAGAGCAGCACCGATCAGTCCCAAGATCCAGCTCTCTAAGTTTCGTTTCCTGTTTTTATTCTTTAATTAGCCCTGGCTCACAGGAGACCAGCGCTCACTGCAGGGGTTCTGGTAATGTCCCCTTTCCTGTTCCCTAAATAACACTAAGAGAAAAAAACTTAGTACTGTATGTTTACAAACAGGCAAATAAGTTGTTACAATTTAATATTTGTATTTTAATACAGAATATAAAAACATTTTAAAAACCTGGTAATTCTCTTAGGTGGCAACTTTAAAATTTTTCCATTTTTCAAGAAGTCATCTGAAATTTTTAAATTTAAGGATTTAAAATAACTTAGATGATAATTCCCCTTAAGGGAACTTCCTATCTATAAAAAGAATAGAAATTAGGTTACAAAAGACTAACACGTAACAAAGAGGCCGGAGAGTATAGAAGATACATTTTTTAATTTATTAGCTATTAAATTCTAAGAACCATACATGACAGACATGGCCAAAGTCATTAACAGATGCAGAAAGGCGAAGTAGACTAACATTTTTTGGTTGCATTATAATCCTGGATGGGCAGGAGCAGACCATCAATACTGGAAGGCACTCATTTAGATCTTTCCTCTTCCCCATTTTCTTCTTTTTTTCTTTCTTATAGTAGGGATTGAACCTTGGGCTTAATGTATGCTAGGCAAGTGCTCTAGTGATGAGCTACATCTCTAGCTCTAGATTTCCTTGTTTTTCTTTTCTTTTTTTTTTTTGTTCCAGGGATCAAATCCAAGGCCTTAGGGACTCTTGACACTAAGCCACATCCCCAGTTTCATTTAGATTTTCTTTTTCTTTTTGTGGTAGTAGTTATTGAACCTACAACCTTTACACTGAGCTATATCCCTAGCCATTCACCCACTCATCTATTTATTACACACACAAATACATATTTTTTTAGACAAGGTCTAAATGACCCAAGCTGGTCTTTAACTTGCAATCACCCTACCTCAGCCTCCCAGTGTGCTGGGTTACAGATGTGTGCCACCACGTCTAGCTTTTCTAATTTGAGACAAGTCTCACTAAATGTCCAAGATGGGCTTGAACTTACAATCCTCTTCCCTCAGCCTTCCAGAGTGCTGAGACTACAGGTGTGCACCACTGTGTCTGGCTATTTAGCTTTTTTTTTTTTGTTTTGTTTTTTTTTGGTACCAGGGATCGAACTTGGGACCTTGCACTTGCAAGGCAGGTGGCAGAACCACTGAGCTAAACCCCTGGTCCTATTTAGCTTTCTTGACAGCACATTTATCCATCTACTTTGACTTACCCTAAGAAACACTATTATCAAATACATTTAACAAAGATATCTACCAAATGAAAAGAGGAAGATATCTATTTGGATCTGTCTTTTTTTTTTTTTTTTTTTTTTTTTTTTTTTTTGGTACTGGGGATCGAGCTCAGGACCTTGTGCTTGCGAGGCAGGTGGCAGAACCACTGAGCTAAATCCCCAGCCCTGGATTTGTCTTAAAATAGGTTTCAAATATGTAGATCAGAGAGCATAAAATCTTAATTGAATCTGTATGTTAGTACCTGTTCTGCCACGAGACTAGCAATTTCTTCATAAGTCTTTCCAGCTTCTGTTATTGCATCATTGAGATCTGTTTCACCTGAAAAGATTACAGTTAGTACTGTAACTAATGCTCAGATTTTTTACTGGCCAGTGGAAAGTTCTTCAAACCGGCACTGGTGTTCTTACAATAGGAGCCTGGCTCACTGTGGTGAGACGTGGTGTGAAGCTAGGAAATGGATGGATGGCAAACTGTTTCTAGTCCTTTTCAGTGAACAGAGTAGAGCACAGTGCATTTTTTAAAAGAAAGAAAACACATAATGAGCTCATACTGATATTTTCAATAAATTTAGGACTCTGGGAATTTTCTTAGTTTGTTTTAAAACTTTTATATTTAAAAAAATCTTATTATTAACAAATCTTTACCATACACTATGTAAAATAGTTTCAGACTATCAATACAACATTATATTAATTATATGATAAGTGAAAACAACTGAAATTCTTTTGCAGTCTTTCAGACTGCTATTTTAAGGTGATCTTAGCTAATTCCTCTCTAATTGGTTATGCCCTTATCTTGAGATATCATTCATGTGTTTTATTTTGCTTTTGGTTATAAGGGATCCTCTCTCATTTTGATGTAAATGTTTTCTAATAATTATGAAAAACATTCATATGTTTCCAAAGTCAAATCTACAAAACAAGAAATTATCAGAAGTTTACCTCTCCTCTCCTAAATGTAATCCTTTAAAATTTTAAATTAGTATTTCAATATGATAGCCTATAAGAATATGGTATGTTTCGTGGGTTTGGCAGGGGTCAGGTTAACAGTCTTAGTACTATTCCAGTGTTAGAACATACTGCTAAAAAAAGTGAAAGTGATATGAGCAATGTCCTCAGACATCAATCTCATTTATATTATCACAAGATCACATAGTGTAGCACTGATCCCAGACAGTACTTAAAATTCATCAGTCATCGTCCTTTGAAACAGGAGAAGCCACATGGATATGAATACAGTAACTACATGGTACTTAACATAAAACATTTGAGTAATTTTAACACTTGCGAAAGTGCTGTGTGTGATATGATGTTTAATAACATACTGGCTGACAGCACAACATGCAGGAATTGAAATGTGAAGGAAACTCAGTGCTCTCTGTAGGGATTAAAGGGAAGAGCACTCAGGCAAAGGACATAGACTACCTCTCACTGCCTACCTTCCAGCAGGGGGCCACTACCACTGTGGTGGCCTTGGTCCTGCTGTCACTCACATCTTCTATTCCTCCTTTCTCTGTTGTTCATTGTTTCTTTTCCTTTATGCTGCTTAGAGCTTTTCCATCCTCAGCTGTAGGTGAGTTCTGACACACAAAGGTGCCATTGAAGTTAACCAGTAGCTTCTTAGTGTCTCCAAAGCACTCTCTTCCTGTCTGGATATCACAGAGCTCCAGAAGTGTAACAGCACCTGGACACCTGACTAGTGCCCAGCCAGTGGATATGTTTAGTGCTGGCTTCCCATCATCTGCTTGTCATCCTGACCCAAAGACTTTGCTTGCTAATCTCAGGTTCTTCAGACTAACCCTAGAGGCTCTCTTCTAATCTGAATGCTGACTGTAAGACAGGGTTAGCCAGAACTATGGTACTTACATGTGGGAGCCCCAAATCTTACATTCTGGTGATGGACCAACACCCAAAGACCTGTCTGGATATCCAAAGCCCTGTCCTATTTGGGAATCAGAGTAAGCACCCTGGTGAAGTGCCAATCTATCACTGAGATAATTAATATACAGACAGGAGATACTCAACTTTAACAGGTACCACATTTTTAAAGAAGAACAACTCATAAGTACTGCCAACGTGAAAGTACAAGAAGTCCAACTACCACTAGGAAGCATACACAAATTATGCCTTAAGGCAACAAATGTATACTTAGTCAAACACTGTTCCTTGGAATGACCTTTTAAAAAATTTAGCCTTTTTATCAGAAAAACCTCAGGTTTGGCATACAGTTGAAATGATGGGTAGAATGCTACATACCCCAGCCACCTGTTATATTAAAATAAAAGAGCTATATCTGAGAGTAGAGGAAGGCAAACAAACAAAACAATTCTATACTTTTCTTCAAAGTCATAAAGTGAGGCAGTAAATGTCCTGAGTGTTTAGCCTGGCCAAGTGTCCCTCAGTGACAAGGGTGCTTCCACAGGCAAAGTTTCGCCTGCCTATGAGATCCTGGGGAGGTGGCAGGTAGGGTAAGATGCGAAAGGCATGTTCTCTCTTAAATATGGATGCTAAAAAATTGATCTCAAAATAGGAGAGAACAGAATAGTGGTAACTGGAGGTTAGGAAGGGTAGAAGGATAGAACAAGTTCAGGTACTTCTATTGCTGTATATCACAGTAGGGTAAGTACAGTTCACAATAGCCTACTGTACATTTTATGAAGAACTAGAAGAGAGTGCTGGAAGGCTCCAAACATGAAGAAATGATAAGATGGAAATGCTACTCTGATTTTATCATTACACATTGTATGCATGCATTGAATTATTATACTGTATTCCACAGATAGGTATAATTATATGATAAAAAGAAAAAAAATAATAAAAAATAAAGACATACCTTGATAACCGCTAGAACTAAACACTGTTGCTAAGCTCTGCAAGGCCTTTCCTATCTTTTGATATTCCTTAGGCAATGCTGAAAGAGAAAAAAAGAATAAATTGTTAACTGGTCCTCTTAGCAAACTGAAGTAGGATTTAAATATTTTCTAGTGATTACTTTATTATAATAAAAAACATCTGAGGCTGGGTATGGCAGTGCACACCTGTAATTCCAGCATTTGGGAGGCTGAGATAGGAGGACATGAGTTCATAAGGCATTAGTTCAAGGCCAGCTTGAACTACATAGTGAAACCCTATCTCAAAGAAAAAAAAAAAAGACACGAGATGGTTAAAAATAGACTATATTGTTTAATAAGTACTGATGCAAAAGTGAGTTTTTTTTTCCATTAATGAGTTCTTTAATCAACTGTTCTTTTTTTTTGGATACCGGGGACTGAACTTGGGTCCTTGTGCTTGTGAGGTAGGCAGTAGAACCACTGAGCTAAATCCCTGGCCCAATCAACTGTTTTTTATTTCTATGTGGAGGCTTGGGAAAATAAGGCGCACATAAACCATGAGCCAAAAGTAATGTGCAAATCAGTGACCAACCAGCCCACAATGGAAAGAATGAAGCCTGGCAAAAACCATGGCAGTGGGGCGCTACGAGGTGGGTGGTGGTGGTTTCTCCCGAGTAGGACGGATGACTCAGTGATTCCCAAGGTCCCACCCTAAGCACCTTCTAAGGTGCTAAAATGCCAGGATTCGAGGTCACTCCGGACAACCGCCAGAGAAATCTCCACATCTTCTCGTTTGCTCTGTTCATAGTCCCTCAGGTACACCAGTGCCTTTTACTGCTTGAGTACAAGCTGCAAGTTAGCAGGACACCTGAATCCAAACTATATCTGCTCAGTTAACTTTAGGAATTAAATTACCATTTTATGCTTCAGTTTTTGTCTCTTCCTGGGGTTAAAGACACAAACACACCTTGTACTTCATCATGTGGTTTTTACTTTACGTTTAGGAATTTTTAAAAAACTATTTTGTAAAAGAAGATATACCTGAGTGAAATCCTAAACAAACTGCCTCAATCTCTTCTCTCCCCAACAAGAGCAGCTTTATGTCAATATTCTTTATTTTATAAAGTAGGCTTTATGGATTATATAAGGCATGAAAATGCACAGCCATCAGATGTAAAAGGTTTAATTCTGTAAAAGAAATTATAATCCCAACTGGGTGTGTGCACGTCTATAATCCTAGCACTTGGGCTGATGCAGGAGGACTGCTGAGAGTTTGAGGCCAGCCTGGACTACATAGTGCAAGGCCAGTTCGAACTATATAGTAAGACCCTGTCTCAAACAAAACAAAATAGTAAATAGAAAACCTACCCTGGGCGTGGCTGTGCAAGCTTGTCATCCCAGCACTCCGAGAGGCTGAGGTTCAAAAGACTGAACCTGGACCGGGCAACTCTGTGACTTAACAAGACCAATAAAATAACAAAAAGGGCTGGGGCTTAGCTCAGTGTGAAGGTCCTGGGTTCAATCTCCAGTGTCACAAATTTAAAAAAGTAATCCTGTATTTGTGCGATAGCCTTAAAACTCTGAAGATCTGTACTCACTTTAAAATGAAGTTTTCAAAGAATACAGAGGCTTAAATGATTTGTGAGAACTTTGTAAGAGTTTTTATAACTAAAACTTTTACAAATAAATTCCTTTATTTATACTTTGTAGAACAGCGTCACTTGGACATCTGACAGCGTTATGCCATCATGAGCTATTTAACAACAGAGCTGCACAATTCTGGGTTAGAGGAAGTGGCTCAGAAGGGTGACAGTGCACATGAGAAGGATAAAGCGGGGAGATGTTCTCAGAGCCAGGGAAGGCCATGGCTGATGGGTCATTCTCCCTCCACAGCAGCCGGGTCTCTGACCCATCTACTATGCTTTCACCAACTATAATGGTTTTTTCTGAAAATTATACAATGTTACTAAACGGAAAAAGATTAAAAGTAAAATCCTAAGATTAAAAGCAATTGTGCAAGTATTCTCTAAAAATGAAAAAAAGAGGTTAACCTTCCATAGATTATAAAACCCAAAGTGACAGGAACTTTTTTAGCTAACATACTGTGTTTTTTTGGTACCAGGGATCAAACTTGGATCCTTGCACGGGAACTACTGAGCTAAATCTCTGGTCCTACAGTGTTTTTTTTTTTTTTGAGACAGGATCTCACTATGTAGTTGATATTGATCTGGAACTCACTATGTAGCCCAGGCTGGTCTCAAACTCATAGCAATCCTCCTGCCTCAGCCTCCCAAATGCTGGGATTACAGGTGTGCGCTACCACCTATAGTTTTTTGAGACAGGGTCTCACTATGTAGTTGAGACTGCCCTGCAACTCACTATGTAGCTTAGGCTGGTCTCGAACTCACAGCGATCCTCCTGACTCAGCCTCCTGAGTGCTGGGATTACAGGCGTGCACCATCATACCCGGCTGCAGTGTTTTTTAAAGAGACTTCTTGGACTGGCTTTGCAAGTTAGTTTTCTATTGTTTAGCTAGGGTGGAGAAGCAGGTCAGGCTAAGGGCTATGGGAGTTGCACCACTGTGGTTTGCTGCAGTCCCTTTTGGGTGAGGCAGGACCCTCAGAAAGACCACACCACAAAGCCCAGCCCAGAGGATGGCACTTACGCCCTGTGCAGCGTTTCCAGTGCTCCTGCCCCACGGTCAGCAGCTCCTTCACACCATCATCCATGGCCTTGGTGAATTTGCCCACAGCTTCGCACTTCTGTTCTCTGTAGGCAGAGAGAACCATCAGTCACACAAAGACTTATCTGTGCACTTGTTTTCCTGCATTAACAACTGTCCTTTGATTAAATCAATCTCAAAACAAGCTAGATTCTGGTTCTGCCACTTATATTTTAACTTTGCTTCCTTTCTTCAATTCTGTGTGAATTTTAAGTAAAATTATTCTAAGGTAAAATTATCACCTCAAATATCTTACAGAAATTTAAAGGATGGTAATGGTAGCTTTTCCTTCACTCAAACAGGAATTTAATGAAACACAGGTTAAAAACTAGGTGGGTCTGTACCACCTAGTGTTCCTAAGACATGAGCTCCTAAAGGGTATAAAGAGTACCAACTGGGCCAGGGATTTAGCTCAGTGATGCTGTGCCTGTCTTGTAAGCACAAGGTTCTGAGTTCAGATCCCAGGTCCAAGAAAAAAAAAAAAAAAGTACCAACTGCAAAGACTGCAGTACACTACTGAATGAAAAAAGCATAATATAAAACAGAATGTACAGCCTGGAGGATGTAGCTCAGTGGTAACATGTGGGTGCGAAGCCAAGGGTTCAATTCCCATGACGAATCAAAAATAAAAAGAAATTAAAAATAATTTTAAAAAATCAGAATGTATAGTGAGGCTACTTTTATTGAAATAGCTCATTTCCTAATAGCTATATACAGAAGGTTTGGAAGACTATATACCAATAGCATTAACAATTTTTTTATTCTTCCAAGTAAGTGGCAGACTATTATGCATGTTTTTTTTTTTTGTGTGTGTGTGTGTGTGTGTGTGTGTGTTTCCCCCCTGTATTTTTGGAAACACACAAGCAATGATTTCGTAAAAGTTTCTTAAAACTAAAAAATTCCAGGGCTGGGGATTTAGCTCAGTAGTTCCACTGTCTGTCTTGAAAGTGCAAGGTACCGAGTTTGATCCCCAGTACCAAAACAAAAAACAAAAACCACAAAACTAGAAAATCCAAGATTTCTTATTAGTTCTTATTTAATAACTTCAAAATTATAACTGAACCTGTATTAAAGAGTAAATGACTAAAAAGAGATTTAAAAACAGACAGAACAAGCGTTAGAAACTGCTTCCTTCAAAGCAGTGCTCAAAAGCTTTTGGCTCTGCTAGGTCTGAAGCAGGTGTTATGGCTCACTGCCACTTTGTTTCATTATACTTTATTGGAACCAACACTGTGTCAACTATGAAATCACTGACTTCAAGGTAAAGAGGAAGCAGATCTTAATCTGATGTTACGTTTAAAAGATGTTACGTCTATGTACACGGTGTTTTCTTTGTCATCTGCCTGCAAACCCCACTCATTTCATAAGCTCTCATCTTCGTCTGACAATGTGAATTCCAGCTGCGGCTATCCTGGCCCAGGCTGTCAGCCAAAGGGTGGATGCGCACTGAGAAGGAAAGTTTGGAAGCATCTCTTACATTTCTATTAAGTCCAAGTCAGGTGCCTCTGGTTCCATGGTGGAAAATATCATAACTCCCACCAGCTCATCTTTCTCAGCCTTCCTCTTTCCAGTTTTCCATTCCTGCAAATGACAGCAACAGTACAATATTAAAGTAGACAGCAGAATCAAACTGATCTTCCAAATCCCCAGAGTCAGCTCCCAAATTACTATTTTCTTACTTTTGTGAATTAGCAAAGAATGCCACAGCATGCATGTTTAGTGCCTGATTTCTTTTGCTTAACCTACATTCACACTGCTGTGCAGCTGTTGTTCACTCATTTCACCATTGTATAATCTTCCACTGTATGAATATTCCCTATTTTATTTATTCTCCTAGTGGTAACCACTCCTATCAAGTTGAATAGAATTGTGATTGTGATGCACATGTCTTCTGGTGGGTATGTACTGAATTTCTATCCAGTACACATCCTGGAGTAAAGATGCCGGGTCCTGACTGTGTTCAACTTCTATAGCTAATCCCAGACTGTTTTCCAAACTGTCTTACTCATTTCTACCCACACCAGCAAAGTGTGAGTCCTGGCAGCATCTTACTTCTCCAAGAAGACATTTGGCAAGGTCATTTTTATTTTAGCAAATCTGCAGAGTGTTGAGTGTTAATCCTCTAGTGGTTCTAATTTGCATTTCTTCAATTGTTAATGAACTTGGTACTGTACTTTTCTGTTTGTTGGTGGTTCAGATACCTTCTTTTCTGAAGTACATTATCAAGTTTCCTACTGGTCTGCTGGGCTGATTATTTTTCATATCATTTATATGGGTTTTCATACATTCTAACACGTAGCCCTTTGTTATTAATGTTACAAATATTTCCTACTTAGTAGGTTTTCACTTTTAATGGCTCTTCTGATGAAAATAAGTTCTTAATTTTAGTGTAGTCTAACATCCATGTCCTTCTGTATGGTCACTCTTTTTCATATCTTATTTCAGAAACCTTCCCTATGCTAGGGGTATGAAGATATTCTCCTAGGTCACCTCCAAGGAAGCTCATTGTGTTGCTTTTTCTTTTCACATTTATGTCTCTGAACCATATAGAATTACTATTATTGGGGGTACTGGGCATCAAACTTGGGATCTTATGCTTGCAAGGCAGGTGATGGCACCACTGAGCTAAATCCCCAGCCCTAGAATTATTATTATTTTTTTGGTGGTACTGGGGATCGAACTCAGTACCTTTTGCTTGTGAGGCAGGTATGGTACCTCTGAGCTAAATCCTCAGCCCTCCTAGAATTATTAAAAAAAAAAAAAATTTTTTTTTTACAATGGAAACTCTCAAAGACATAGAAAAACTGAAAAGTATAAGTCCTCACAGACTTGGCTTCAATTATTAGCATTTTATTAATCTTTTTAAAAAATATCAGTTTTATAAGAGATACACAGACATTACCTATGTGTAATTTCATATGATGCAGTTTCCATAGTGATTTTAGTCTACATATTTTCCAAGACTGTCAACAGCTCTAAATAAATAATCTCTAAATATTACTAAAGAAGTAATCCTTTTTAGCCAAGTATGGTGTTGTATGCCTGTAATCCTGGATACTCGCAAGGCTGAGGCAGAAGGATTGCAAGTTTGAGGCCAACCTGGGGCAATTTAGAAGACTCTATTGAGAGAAATAGAGAGAGACAAGGACACAGAGAGATGGAAATAACCTTTGTCATCCAGAACTTCTTTGGTGTCTATTTCTTTCCATATGACATAGTCAAAGACCACCAGAGGGACAAAGAACAAACTCCTGAACCCTTAACTTATTACTCATCAAAAGCATGATTTGTGTTTTCTTCTGAGGCAGTCAGGGACTTAAAAGTAGTTTTTGCTAAGAACTGTCATTTTTTTTTTCATATGGAATGTTACAGTTTATATCTAAAATGTCTCCTAAAGCCTCAGGCACTCCAAAATGGGGCTTTTGGGAGTGGGTGGATCATGGGTGTATAATATTAGATTAAGGATGTGATAGATTAGCCTACTGATTGGTTTAGCATGGTTCTAGGTGTGGCTGGGAAGGCTCACCCTAGGTATGGGTGGTAACATCCAATAGGCTTGTAGCCTGGATGGCATAAAAGCAAAAGGGAGGCTCGCTGCTGTTGCTGTTGCTTCCGGCCTGCCACACCATGAACTGTTTCTCCTCTGCCATGCTGTCCTCGCATGAAGCCAGCCAATTGTGGACTGAAACCTCTACAAACTGTACAAGTTAAATTGAACCTTTACTCTTTTGATTTGTGGGTGTTAGGTATTTTGTCCCAGCAACAAGAAAAGTAGGCAAGACATGGGCCTATAAATGCCCAATAGGTAATTTAAAGTAAAATAAGGCTTGGTCTTCATTTTGTGAAAATGTGGGTCAAATCTTTCTCAGTTCTGCATATAAGCATGTTAAGTCACTTAAGGAGTATATGTCTAAAAGTTGGCAAAACAAGGTTTATTAGACCTAAATTTACCTTACTGTTGAAGACAGAAGATGCTAGGATAAGATTACTGACATTCAGCATTGCCCAGAATCTCCACTGCCTTAAACTCAGAGTTGTCCTGGATTCCAGCACAGCCTCACAAGACTAAAACTGCCCCTCTAAGCAAGAGGATTACTCACATGGGAACCAAACTGCTCTTCAAGTCAGGAGCATTCAATCTGAGGTACAGAATGAGGATGGGAAATAACTAGATCCTGGCCCACCTCAGCTAATCTTTAAAAACTGACCTGCTTTTATGGGCAGGCCAGTTGAACCCCTACATCAGAGTGTGCCACTCTAGCTACCAAGTGGGCATACTTTCCCTGTATGCTCTTAAGTTCCTTGTTAAAAGACCAGGTTGATCTTTGTCAGAACTATGCTCCTCTGATTTTCATCAACTTTTAATCAAAGCTTTTTCTTATAGATTTATTCTTTAGTTTTAATATTCTTTATCACTAAAGCAAGGAGCTATGCTAGCTTGTGACACATTCTGAGGGAAGAATTTTATTTCCAACTTTCTTGCTAACTGGTTAAATTTCTTCAACTTTAGCCTTTAGAGTCCTGTCCAAGAACCGCTGCTGCCGCTCCCAATATTTTTCCTTGAAATGAGTCTAGAATCATATGCCTCCTTTGGTTACAATGTCAGCTGCCCTCCCCTTCCACTAATATTCAAAGAGTGGAAGACACTGTCAGACTCCTGTCTTACTATTCCTGCCACAGTGCAGAGAGATGGCAATTGGTCTTGAACTTGGCCTCAGGACTGTGAACTAGGAAGAAGGTGCCTGAAGCACTGGCCCCACCCCTCTCATGTGGGTGGCTGATCTTATTCTAAAACAGTGAGTCCTTTCCATTCTACTGACTCGCTGTACTTTTTCTTATTTTAAAGGAAATCTCAGACATAATATAGTTTTGTCCATAAATATTTTGATATGTGTCTTTAACAGGTGAGGCTGTTTAAAAAGTATGACCACATTTCACCTTTCCCTGTGATGCCCCAGAGGGGCCAGCGTCATTTATGGAAGACTACTCCTTCCCTTCTACACTCACTGCTACTCTGTTCTGCTCTTCGGACATGCTTCTGTTCTTTATGCCAACACTACATTTTTCACACTATTTTAGTTCTACAGTGAGTTTTGATATCCAGTACAGTTATCCTGCTACTTTTTCTTCCAAGAGCACCTTATTACTCTTAGCACTTTGATTTTTTTACACATGACATCTTTATTGTTCTTCAATTCATACTGGAAAATTGACTTAGGACTTCTGTTAATATCTCATAGCTTTCAGTATCGATCTACTGTACATTTTCTTGGTTTATTCCTAGACATTTAATACTTTTGGTACTATTATAAATGATGGCATTTTTAAACTTATAATTTGTTTATTGCTGAAAAACATGGAATTTACTGTATCCAGCTACCTTAATAATCATTTATTTCTAGTAATTTATATGCATATTCTTTGGAATTTTTTTGGTACCAGGGATTGAACTCAAGACCCTGCACCTAACAAGGCAGGTGCACTTCCTGCCCCTGAGTAAAATCCCCAGCCCCTGGGATTTTCTGTGTTTATTATACTTGCTACTAATAATCAAAGAATGACAGTTTTTCTAGTTTTACACTACCATTTAGCTTGTGGTCCAAAGAGAACAAACATTTTGACAAAAATCACAGAAGTAGGTAGAAATAGAGGCGAGACTAGAGGTCAGGGGCCCTAAGTTCTTTTTTTTTTATTCTCTTGCACCATTTTGACAAGCTGATCAGACTTTGAAAGTGGCAGTCATTAAACAAAACACAAAACAACCAATGTCTTCGATTTATTATTTTTAAACTATTCTATGCAGAAAACATGACCTTCAGAAGTGTTTTATAAATCAAATCCTTGGAAAACCAACATAACGAGCCCTTGTTAAAGTCCTGTGGGAAGCCAGAAGACGATAAACTTGAAGCAGCTTTGATACAGGTTTTGTAACAAACAATTAAAACTCAGAGAACTTAGTTTCACTACTATACAGCTTCAGACATAAATACTGTGAATAAATTTCTCTTTTTAGCAGAAAAACTAGGGTGTGGTAGAGTAGCTTGCAAAGCTAACCTATGATCTAATAGATACAAATTAATGAAGAAATGCTTGGATACCTCAGTATTTTATTGGTGACATAAAACAAACTGAATATACCAGTCTTCTCTAGAAAGAAGCAATAACTGAAACTGAGGCCCAAATATTTATACTATGGTAAGTGCATGCATATGTCTGTTAAGCATATATAAAAAGAGAGTCCTAATATTTACACTTTTTGCAAGTATCTTTCACTTCAACAAGGGAAGAAAAATACTATAAGGAAATTTAGCAGGTAAATCTCTGGCAGGTCCAACAGGGTACATGATATTCTTTTATTTGATAAAAATAAAAATAACTGTAACATTTTTTCCAGGATCATAATATATTTAGCATCTGCTGCTGCTTCTGAGCTAATTCATGCTTTTACTCTTTAGAATGTTTTCTAAAATAGGCAATATTTGTTATGAGAAGAGGAACACAACTATGACAGAAGAAAATGACAATAAATATCTTTAGAGAATAAAAAGTTACAATAAGTACAGTGAAAGCTTATTAAGAGAGAAAACTATTTTCAAGACAGTGATGAGATATCGAGCAGCCAGTTTTTCTTGATTGTAATGAGAAAGAAATGACCAGTGGCAGAGACTGTCCAAGGGGGAATGGGGGGATACAGACAGGCATTTACTTTGGACTCAACTAGTTATGAAGAAATGATGACTACAGTGATGGAGAGGGATGGTTCATCTTTGACACTACTTTACTTCTAGAAGCTGTGGCACTGTTAGGTCAAAGGGGACCAGAGGAATTCCCTTCACTTTATGCTAACAGCACCTCTCATATCAGTTGGGGTCTGCCCTCTTTTTAAGAGCACCTTTGAGAAAACTGCTCATCCAAGTTAATCCACTTTGCCTGCTTACCAGCCCATGTCTAAGACCCCTCTGGCTAACAGTTTTTTCATACTGCAGGACTACCCGCTATGGTTGGGATTTAGGTTTCTGTCCCTTTCCTGTCTTTGGAGGGAGTAAGAGATAATTAAGCAACATGCTTTTAACTCCTTTCACATATGCCTGCAGTGTGACTGTGAGAACACTCACTTTCCTGACACCATATGATATGGTCAGCTGTCTTACCTTCTCATCTCGGAAGTTCAGGAACTGCTGGAAGACTTCGCTCTCTGAGATGACTGGGTGCCGGCACATCCTGGTCATCCAGGCCTGAAGTCTCTCCATGCGCATTTTGATAAATTCCTCTTCAAAGCGACCTGTAAAAGACACATCAAGAGTGAAACAGAGCTTTCTATGAAGTGAACTGCAGTTATGTTACAAAAGCTGAAAAAATCATTTCTATGACCACTGGCCACTTGGTAGAAAGCTGTTTTATAAAAGGCAAAACCACGGTGATTTTTCAGAGCCTTAATGAGATATGAGAAAGTTCAAGAGATCCACAGGAAAGATCTGACACTCTATTTAGTTTAAGAATCAAATTTCAATTTAACACATTAAGAAATCTTTTGTGACAAGAGCAACAATTTTAAGTCTTACCTTGATATGATAAACTATCTCCAACTGGTACACAAACATCAGACCAGCTCCTAGGTGGCCTCATGAAGTCTATACGAAACAACCGAATCAGTGCTCTGGAATTAACCAAGTCCAAAGGCCACCTGAGAAGTGTATATACTTGAAAACTTGCTGAGCTTTCAGTATGACTGTAACATTCTGTGGCTGCTCCCTTCTCTCCTTGCTTCTGTGTGCCTTCCTCCCCTGCTGGAGACAGGGTGGAGCAGGCTGTGGGGACTGACACTGTTGACTTCCTTGCTGGGGTCTGAGGGAGCTCATTTGATGTGGAGCAGTGGGAGATGCTCATGCCCAGTGACAATTTCAGAGGTGGATGTTGGCGTAAATGGACCAACTAGCCAAGATAGCTGGACCAAGCATATGCAGGCTGAAGCTGTATACAAACAGTGCAGACTGGACAAGGTTAAAACCAGCCACAAGCTTCTTACATCTCTTAGGCTGCACATACATGGAAAGGAGAATTTTAAAAAGGGGCCTAGGAAGTCAGGTACCAAGGCATGTGCCTGTAATCCCAGACAGCTGGGAAGCAGAGGCAGGAGGATCACCTGGGTAAGTTTAGGCCCAGTCTGGCAACACAGTGAGGCCCTATCTTAAAATAAAATAAGCCCAAAGGAAAGTAAAAGAAGCCAAAGTTAACTTGAAAAGGCCCCAGCTCTGAATTTACTTGCTTTCTACGCTGCTACACTGACACTGAGCAGAACCTCCGTGGCTTGATATGGCCAAAAGCCACCTCTGCTCCTTGAATCACAGGCTTCCCACTAATCTATACAGACACAAGAATAAACCTTTGCAAACAGGACTTGGAAAATAAACAAATATAAAATTAACTGAGCTGCAAGGGAGACAGAGTTAAGAGATTCAGCCTGAGCAAGTTACTTAACAAACAAACATAGAGCAGAAACAATTACCACCTACAGGGAGGAATAATGCGAATCTAGAGTTGCTAAAATTCTCAATGTACAGTTTTCAACAAAAAAAATGAATAGTTCTGCAAAGAAACAGCAAGATATGATCCATACTGAGAAAAATGAGCAGTCAATAGAAAATTTCCTTTAAGTGTCCCCAGATGAATTTAGCAGACAAAAGAAACCAGCAGACAAAGCAGCTTCTATAAATATGTTCAAAGAACTAAAGAAAACCATGTTGAAAAAGTTAAAGAAAAATATGAGAAGGAATTAACAGAGACTCTCAAGGAAATAGAAATTATTTTTAAAAAGAATTTCTGGAGTTGAAAGTATAATAACTGAAATGAAAATGTTCTGAAAAGGCTTCAAGAGTAGATTCAGGATGACAGAGGACAGACTCAGTGAACTGAAGACGGATCCACTGAAGTTGTCCAAAATGAAAAACAGGACGAAAAACTAATGAAAAATAAAGCCCCAGAAATCATCAAGCACACTGGGAGTCCTGGAGGGAGAAGAGGACAAAGAAGCAGAAAAAGTATTTAAAGAAATAATGGCAAAAAACTCCCCAAATTTGATGGAAAACTTTAAACTATACTTTTAAGAGACCCGAAGAAACCTCAGCAAACTGTATTTGTAAGATACAAACTTTTATACATTTTGACATAGCAGGACTAAACAGCTGAAAGACAGAAACAAAAAGGAAATCCTGAAAGCAGCAAGTATGTTGCTTTCTGTAGGAGGCCAGCAGAATTAATAGCTGACTTATCATCTGTCAAGAGCAAGCTGGAAGGCAATGAAACAACACACTCACCAGGTCCCAAGAATGACTACCAGCCTTGAATCAGACAATAGGACCACATCCTTCAAAAAATACAGGGCAGAATAAAGACACAGATACATAATAAGAGACTTGCTGATAGTAGACTTCTACTGCAAGAAATATTAAAGGAACCCCTTTAGACTAAGAGGAAATTATTAAAGATGGTGATTAGAATCCATAGGGAGAAAGAGCACTAGAAATATGTAGGTTAATATAAAAGACTGTACAGATTTGTTTTTTCTAATTTGCTTCTTTAACTTCCTTAAAAGAGGCAAGAATGAAGAACACAGTAATTTTTACACTGCACTGCTGAATTTACAACCAACAGGTATAAAACATGTGAAAGTAAGTCCATAAAATGAGGAAGAATACTGGAGCTAAACTAGAGAAAGGATCCTGTATTTTACTGGAATTGAGTTAAGATTAATCTAAAGTGCACTGTAATGTTAAAAAAGATGTGTATTTATCCTCTAGAGCAACCACTAAAGAAACTTTAAACATTTAGTTTGAGATCCTTTGCAATTTTGCATTTCTAGACACCAAGCTAAGGATGCCATGTGGAAACCACAACTGTACTTTCTGCATGGTGCTTCAGCTCACCAAGCCCCTCAGATGAGAGCTGCATTCAGGCCAGCACCTGCTCACCTTCCAGCAGCTGCCTAACCACCTGCAGCTGGTGTACCTGCTGCTGCACCCCAGCAGCCAGGAGTAATGGCTCAGCTGGCATGGCTACTGGCTCTACTGCAGGGCATGCATACTGAGGGGTTGTGACATCACTGGGGATTCAGGAGGGAGTAATGGTGAGGACTCAAAAGCTGACATCACTTACCAGCAACTTCAGGGAACCCAGTGGGTGCCACAGCAGTTTGGTGGCCCCTGCTTTTATGAGATATAGCCATTTTTGGATAATATTAAACTCTATGAGGGCTTCAATGAGGTGCTGAAGCAGTGTAGAACTGCAAATGTACAATAACTGAAATTAAGAAATTTAAAATGAAGAAATAGAAAATTGGCTCTGACCATTACTTTAGCATGAAAATGTAACTGATGATGAAAGTATAACATATAATAAACTAAATGGCTTGTTGTTAACTTATTTCAAAATGGCAATGAAAGAGGGTGTAATATAGAAGTTCACTGAAATGGTACAGGATTTGGGGCAAATGTTTGTGTGGCTTCCTTAAACCAGCAGTTGTGATTTAATACTTGTAAACTTATTAGAATGAAGTGATTTTCTTCCAAAAAAATTTAGTTTAACAAATGACAGTAATTAGAATGGCAAGTGACAAATATTTACTTAATATTTTATTAAGGAAAGTTAGACAAAGAGGAAGAGAGGAACAGTTAAGATACACAGAATAAAATAACAAAATGGCCAATGTAAATATAACCATATCAATAATTAAATAGTCCAGATGATATTAGTGGTGAGTGCTATCAAATATTTATAGGATAAGAACAATTCTACATTTGTCTTCATTCTCTTCCAGAATATGGAAAAGGAAGGAATATGTCTAGATTTATCTGATGAGACCAACACTGCCCCATACCAAAACTAGACAAGAAAACTATAAGAGCAATAATTACAAGAAAACTACAGAGCAATAATGCTCATGAACACAAAAATCCTCAAATATCAATAATATAGTTATGTATAAAAATAATAATAGATCACAATCAGGTAAGGTTTATCCCAGGAATAGAAGGATGGTTTTGCACTAGACAGCTGATCAAAGTAAGCTATCATGTTAAAAGATTAAAGAAGCAAAAGCATGACTGCCTCGAAGGATGCACAAAATACATTTGATAAAAGTCAGCATCCCTTCATGAAGAAACATTTTCAGCAAACTAGAAACAGAAAGGAAGTTCCTTAATTGGATAAAAGAACAACAGAAAATCTACAGTGCAGTGGGCATCACACTTAATGGTGAAAGGCTAAAAGATTTCTTCCTAAGACTGGGAATAAGGCAAAGATGTCTGTTCTCACTATTCCTAGTCATTATCCTGCAAATCCTTGTCAGTGTGATAAGGCAAAACAGAAGGTACACAGTTAGAAAAGATGGATCGAAACTATCTCTTTTCCTAGATGACGTGACTGTCCACATACAAAGAACACAAAGAATCCACAAAGAAGCTCCTGGAACTAATAAGTGAGTTTAGTAAAGTTACAGATATAAGATTGGTATACAGGGCTGGGGATTTAGCTCAGTGGTTCTGGTGCCTGCCTCACAAGCACAAGGGCCAGAGTTCGATCCCTGGTACCAAAAAAAAAAAGATTGGTATATAAGGATCAATTTTGTTTCTGTATGAAATAAACTAGAAGGTATAAATTTAAACAAACAGTATCACTTATCATAGTCCCCTTCCCAATGACATTCTCCTACAAAAATCTATGCATAAATCTGTATGTATAAAACTACATAGCACTAATGAAAGTCAAACAATATATTTACATTCATGGGTTAAAAGACTAGATATTAAGATGTGAATGCTCCCCCCAATTGATCCACAGAATCAATGCAATTCCAGCAAATTCTGTGCCATGATTATTTACACACATCTATAAATTTGACTCAAATTTACATGGATAGACCAAAGAATAATAACTAAAAGAACTGTGAAAAAGAATCAATCCAGAAGAATCACACTACTTGATTTAAAGGCTAACCATGAAGTTACATTAATCAAGAAAGCATGGTATTGGTAAAAAAGATGGACACATAAATCAATCAAATAGAAACCAGAAATAAACCACATAGTCAAGTGACTTTACAAAGTGCCAAGGAAATTCAATAGAGAAAGAACAGTCTTTCCAATAGATGATGCTAGAATCTCTGAGTATTCAGATGCAAAGGAAAAAAAAAAAACTCTACCACACCTCATACTTCTACACCACCTCACAACTTACACAAAAATCAACTACAAATGCAAAGAAAATGCAAAGCTTTTAGGAGAAACCATCATTGGGAACTGAAGTTAAGGCAAAGAGGTCTAAGCCACAACACGTAATGCACTCATAAAAGCAAAAATTGATACATCAGACTTCATTAAAATACAAAGCATTTGTTCAACAGAAGACACTATTAAGAGCATGATAACAAGCCATAGCTAGGACAAATTATCTGTACATCACACATTGGACAGAGGACTGTTTCCAGAACATATAAAGAATTCTCAAAATTCAGCAATAAAATACAATCTAAATTTTAAAAATGGCCCAAGGATTTGAACAGATACTTCAACAAAGATATATGGATGGCAAATAAGCATATAAAAAGATACTCAATACTTCAAGTAAGTAAAGAGATGCAAATTAAAACCATGAGATATATTACATATCTATCAGACTTGGTTAAAATAAAGAAAAACAGACACTATCAAGTGAAGGTAATGTGGGACCATGGGTACTTCTATATTGCTGTTGAGGATTCCAGATGATACTGCCACCTTCATAAACATTAAACATATACCTACTAAATGAACCAAATGACAACTTACAGTCATACAAAATCTGGGTACAGCTGGAAGTGGTGGCACATACCTATAATTCCAGCTAGGTAAGAGGCTGAGGCAGGAGTGAGGCCATGTCTCAAAATCACATATAAAAAGGGCCAGGGATGAATCTCAAATGTGCCATTATGCTGCCATTTATGAATCTATTCTAGACATGGTGAAACTATAAGAACAAAAAACTGATCAAGTTTTGCCATGGGTAGAAGTAGAGAAGGGGTTTAAAATAGAGAGGAAGCACCAGGGAGTTTTGGGAGATGACAGAACTGTCCCATATCATAAATGTAGAAGTGGTTACAAGATTGTAGCAGCAGTTGTCAAAACTCAGAACTGTACACCAGAGTGAATTCATTACACATAATGCAAAAATAAATTTTTCAAAAAATGCAGCCTGAGCTTTTAGAAATTATAAATAAAAATAAGAATGAGTCTTTCAACATGAAGAGCACTACAGACCCACATTTAAATAACTGTTGTCTAAGAAGTAGCACCTGAACAGCAGCACAGATCTAGATACCTCTAGCGTACAAAAGCCCTTCCAGATCTACACAATCTTAGGTGACACGAGTCTCACCCTGAGGGAAGACAGTCACCCACCTTCAGGACACAAGAGATGCAGCAGGTCCTCATGGCGCTGGATGCAATGACTTCCATTATGAGCAAGTGAATTATATCAAGAACGTATTAACTAACCAGTGGTAGAAATTTAATGATTTTTACTGAAAATATGATCTTGTGAAGATTCTTTTGACCCACCTGGTTTGACTTCCAAACCAACTTCAGATGTTATTTTATGCTCGGTAGGATTTTCATGTAAAGTTCCGGGGGGGTCAAAGACTTTTAGGCTCCATTTTCAACAAAGCTCACTTAGGTTTTCACTAAATATGTTAATGTTCTATGCTGGTACCCAGGAATAAAACTGATTCATTCAATATTATTTCACAAAGAACAAAATCTACAAATAAAAAATGCTGACTATAAACTTTTTATGGATTGACTGTTTTTTTTTTTTTTTCAAAGACCACAGGAAATAATTTCAACTACTGGGCTTCTCTTTTCTCCAGGAGTTCAGTCAGAGGAGAATTTGTACACAACAATGATCTTGTGAGTATCATAGGCTGGAGGCAAATGAATAGGGTAATGGTGTCACTCTGTGCCTCTCAGTTTCTTCAGCATGTGTCCCAGCTAGGGGATCAAAGCTCAGCTTTCTTCAGACTGGGGGCTGTTGTTTCTCTGTGCCATAACCTGGCTGCATGCCTATACTTTAAAAAAATGAAAACCTTAATATGGAAGGAGAACTGTGACTCTATGATGCTTTGAAATAGCACTAAGTTATTTGATTCAGAAACAATACATTAAAGCCTAAAACACGTAAGAAAGTCCTATGAACCTAAACCAACCTACTAACCCATATATTTAAACAATGAGGAGTATCTGTTGGGCTAACAAGGGGGAAAAGGAGAATATAAAATTCAAAGAAACATATTGAAAATTAAAAATATGAAAAAAGTTGGGTATGGCAGCACACTTCTACAATCCTAGCACTCTGGGAGGTTAAGGCAGGAGGACTAGAAGCTAGTGAGACCCTGTCTTGGTATTGTAGCTCAGTGTGAAGGCCCTGGGTTCAATCCCTAGTGTCATAGCGAAGTCTTGGGTTTTAAAGGAGGCTGTGATTTAAAGCAAGGAGAGGAGTATCTGAACTGGGCAGATGGGACAGGGGTACAATGACCCCAAGTGGGAAACAGTCACACACTGACTGCTCTGGCCTTACTCACCAGCCCCATCCCCATGAGGGACACTATACTGTCACCCACAGAGTTGTGTTCCTCTGCTGGCAGAGAAGCCCTCAATCTTCATCCTGCTATGATTTGAAACTTCTGAAAAGTTTTATAAAAAAATCAAAATAAAAATCAAAACAACTCCTTTAAAAGAACCAAAATTTGTCTTTCTCAAAAATATCTTAGAGAAAAATAAATATAAAGCAAAGTAAGACCTTAAGAACAACTTACTAATTCTAGCTAGATTAGTTGGTCTACATCTTCTAACAAACAGCAAGCTTCAGGATCCAATTGAAATTCCCCTTTTAAACATGACAGAGAGGAATGTGTTTGGTGTTTCCCCATGTGTAAAGTGAAGGTGAAAATGCCTGTCCCAGAGGAGTGAGGAAAAGCACTCTGGAGGGGTGGGCACATGTGAACCCCAGCCCATGGGAACTAAGTGCACTGTAGCACTGAACTAGCTCGATCTGGGGCTGCTACCTGGCTGGTCACCGTTTCTCTCAGTCCTGCCCTGAATTACTCATGGCAGCACTTGCTGGGAGGATCAAGCCTTCTCTGTCTCCCTGATCTCTGGGAAGAACCTTCTTCCTCCTTGCTTGAATTCTTGCTGGGGCAGATGAGTGACCCATCTTTCTCCGGGTCTCCCAGGTCTCTGACGATGTAAGCCTTTCTCTCATATTCCATCCATTCCTTTCTACATTTACTAGTTTCATTTATCTGAACATTTTCTAGCTCCTTCTAACCATGAGTGGTGAACCTATGGCAGGTGTGTTGTTGTGTTTTTCTTTTAAGGCAAAAGATATTAATGTATGAGTTTTTTTTTTTTTAAACTAAAACTAGGTATTGAGGCTTAATTGCACTTTGTGATATATAAGTGGGTTTTGGGTAACAGTTTGGGACTCTAAAAGGTTCACCATCAACCTTTGATAAAGATCAGCTCTGTTACACACATATATTCTAAGACACACCTGAGTCTTCAAGCACTTAACACACCAGATTCCACACTAGCTAGTGATGAAAGCCAAAGCACAACAAGTGTCCCAGCAGGCAACACATCCTTTCTGACTGCATAATTCCAAAGGGCTTTGGAACCATATGAATTGGATTTTCAGACTTTTGAGGGTACAGTAGGGGTGGTGGAAATGAGACATTATAAAAACAAGAAAAGGGAGAGGGTAATAATCAATGACAATTCAATAGAAAACTTGCACTTTGCTCTAGTAACATTTATAAACTCTCTGGCATCTCCATGTGATAGTTACCCACTGTTAAGAAAATGATGCAGCTGGTCTGAATAACCTGTTTACATCATTTGGATCACATATTTTTATTTCACTTTTAGGTCATTTGGATAAGCTATTTTTTCAGGTATCATGTTTCCCATTTTTAAAGATGCACATATTTATTTTATAGGAGAAAATACAGACTGCTAGAATTCAAGGTACATATACTAGACCTCAGATAGCTCTTGTATGTTTTTTTCCTCATTGAGTTTATTGGTACATTTTAGGTATACAGTACAGTTACATTCATTATTGGAATCTTGTACCTTTACATGACAGGTCTTGGTTCTCATTTTTTCACCCTATCCCTGCCCTCCCTTCACCCCCTCCTTCCCTCCCCGTTTACAAACATTTTATTTCCATTTTCTCCTATTTTTTTCCCCCTTATTGTATTACCTTTCCACTACCCTTTCCACTTTCCTTACACCTTTAGCCCTTTTCTTCCTATTTCACATTGTTCTTGTATGTTTTTACCTAACATTCAGGTGGTCAGTCATCTTCCATAAATACATAGGATCTGCTCTGGGTCTCTCTTCACAGCTACATTAACTTGTGCACCTTAATGCTTGCTGTTCTAAGGAAAACAGTGCCTTGCTGTTTACAGGAAAATAACCTGCCATATCTTTTCTCTTATTACTCCACAGTCAGCATTACTTCTACTCACCTGTGACTTGCTTGTCTGGAAGAGAAGGGATTGGAATGGCTGATCCAAACTTAACCAGGAGACGTTCATACAACCAATCAAAGTGCTTATACCTGTGGTTTACAGATCGATTAGTGTTCTAAAAAATAAAGGAAGGAGATTAAAAGTTACTGGTGCCAACTATAGCAAATGAAGAAAAAAAAATGCAACCTCTAACTAGCAATACCTGAATGATACCACAGGTTTTGATAACATGGGTACTTACAGTAGGTGTTAACTGGTATTCAATGTAGCTCTTCAGGCCATACATTTTGGAGCCTTTTCTGGGATCTGCTACCACACAGTCAAATGTCGAGGTAGGATAAACCCACATTGGGCCATAATCTCCAACCTACACAATGTTCCAAAAAAAAAGTTAATTTTGTAACAGGGAAATATAGTAAATACAAGTAGCATAAATCAACAAATGATTCTTTTCAGAAATGAAAATCCTTTGGAGAGTCATTCCTGTTCTTCTTTGAGAAGGTAGTGACCAATCTTTCATCAGAGTTCTCATTTGAAGAACATATTTACTGGGATGATCCCTTCTGTTCTCTTATGCGGGCAGCTCAGCCCATGAAGAGGAGAAACCAGCTCCCTGTTTAGGATAGTGTTAGTTAAAACACAGGGTCTCTCCTCTCTTTAGACACCTGTCTGAAGCTATTTGTGATAAATCTATCACATACTGGTTTTATGAAATAAAAATCTACATGTTTGGATTTTTCAACAATGTGAAATTACCATAAGATGTTCTCATATTTTTGTACTTTTTCAGGGAAGACTGGTAACTAGCAGTTTTCAAATGGAAAACTAGTCTGTGATAATAATTTGAATTGCATCATTTTAGCTATAGAAATGGCTAATTGGATTGGCCAGTGCCTGATATCCACTGTTTTACTAGTGGTAGGGAATTTAGCACCCTTAAGAGTGAGACCCAGGCTAGTTGTTTTTCCTTGGGACTCCATGGGCAAAGGCTCAGTTGTTTGGCTCACTTCCTGTCCCTGGAATTATGCCTGACAGGCGAGGCTTGCCCAAAGAAGGCAGGCCCCCTTCTTCTTCCATTGTTCTTTTCTGTCTGTGACTAGGGGCAAAGACTCAGGAATTCAGGTGAGGTTTACAACTGCACTAGAGTACTGTGGTTTTACCTAGGAGTGGGTGTGAGGAAGGGAAAGCAGCTGAGTTCTATGTGGGAGTATAGAGAACTGATGTGTAAGTCTAAGCCTGTGCATCATTTCTGCTAGCACTGCTAAGTGACAATGGGTCTGCTGTTCCAAATGTGGCTGTTTTCATGTTGTTTAAAACTGATCCAAATGGCTGCAAAGGATCTTGCATCCCGGGGCTCACACATAGGCTCTTCAGATCACTCCCTGTATCATTAATAGTCTGGTGTTGGTGCTGGGTCATCCATTTTAGAATAAATAGAAATGATTATAGATTTCAAAGGTCCAGATTATATGAGTGGGTCTTATCAAAGAACAATATGAAGAACAACAGGAGTGCTTATTATCTTGAGAACATGTTATCCTCTTGAATTGGACTTGAAAAATATCTGAATTATAGGAACAAGGTGGAAAAATATCAACAGGTGGTCTATAAATGAAACACTACTTCTAGGGAAGACATCCATTCAGAGATTCAAAGAGGGATGACAATAGTTTATAAATTATATGAAACTTGAAGTTAGAAAAAGTATGCTAAGAAAGTAAAAAGAAAACAAGTAAGACCACGTAGACTGGATTGAGGGAAGACACTTCCTGCAGACTGAGATTTCTGAGGAAGGCCAACAGCCATAAAGGTAGTCCTCACACTCTCCCAAGGTGGAGAAAGAGAAAACAGAATACATTTGGCATCCAGAGGTCATCAGGTCAAGGCCAAGAAGGTGACTGAAGAACGAGCTTAACAAGGGATGAAGGAGATCAATGAGAACAAATGACTCTACAGTAATTGGAGGGGGTCAGGATCTGGGAAGCTCTCCTACAGCTGCAAAGCAGAACTTGTGGCCACTTTGGGGAACATTCCTTAGGGACTGGGACTGAGGGGCAGCTCTGGTTGGCTAGGGCACCCATGCTCATGGGCCACATTTCACTAGGCGGGGTGTGTTACTGTGCCTTCTACTGCTTTCTCTTTGCTTCCTGAAGACTCCTGGCTTCCTTCAGCTTCCTTTCTCATGGAGCAGGCCTGACCCCTGGCTTCATGGCCCATGTCTTCCTAAAGCTCCTGAGACCAGGCAAATCTTATGCTCTGTTCCACCACTGTCATGCCTGTGACAAAGTTCACTCTCAAAATGTCAGAGCTGGGCCATAATCTCTTAATTCTGTGGAGTTCTAAATTGAATGAAAAGAATAATGATACATATGTAATTTCTTAATAGTCTGACACAAACAGAAAAAAATTACAATAAAATTTAACCACTCACAAGATAATTACCCCAAATTTGCTTTGAGGGAGGAGGATAAAAGGGGCTCTTGGTTATAGCCCTTCTCTCTGGAAGTTTCCAGGATTTCAAACTTTAAAGATGTGGAAACAGTAGTTAAAGAATGAAACATCATTTCTGCAATTTCATCAATATAGAAGACTAGTATTTCTTGTCCTTGTTTGTTCAAACAGTGACTACATTCAAGTCTTCTCCTAATAGTTACAGTGTTAAGTCAGCAGAGTCAGAAAAATAACTAGTTTTCTTTCCCAGAATTATATTTGGAAATACACAGATATTGCCTAGATAGAAAATCTATCAGCAATCAAATATGGAATAAAAGAGCCTGTCATATTATGTAATAATCACTGCTCTAAGATGGACTAAATTCTTAATCATGTCATATATTCCCAGACTTTATATGCTAGTTCCTTATCTTGACATAACAACCGGCTTGCTGCAAGAAACACTATTACCAGCATAAGGAGACTTCTTCAGATAATATGCTGGTACTTTGCCAGGACAGAAACCTAAATTATCTGATTTGAGCTTATTAGTTAAGTGTATAGAGCTGGTTAAAAAGAATATAAAATATACATTAAGATGTTTTAGAAAATTATTATAGTAATATGTGTTTGAAATATACATATATCTTGAATATAGTTTGAATGATAAAGAATATCTAGACAACAGGCATTAATTTATGCTAATTATCTTGAGTTCTCCTAAAATACTAACATATCATCAATCATTTGGGATTTAAATGTGTTTAAAAATTCTTCCCAAAAGACTGATAATCTTCTTAGCTTTAAGGTATGAGGAAAGACCTTAATTAGAAACAAAGCAAACAAAAATAAAAAAAACTTACAATGATGGGAATTTTCTCTTTGGGCTTTGCTAGCTGCTTGGCCAACAAATATTGTTCCATTCCAGGTTTTGCAAATCCAGGAAATCTAATCATGAAGATAAATGCATGTGAGTCTTATGACTTGCTTCATAAGAATTCCACAATTCTCAGCATGTTACTTTAACACATAAGTTTTAACTTTATTCAATCTTTAAGATGTACCAGAACTGGAAACTGGTAAATGAAACCCAATGTAATCAGATTGTTCAATGGCCAGTCGGTCACTTAATTATGCTTGATCTGTTGAAGAGAACAGTCTGGCCCCAGTAGGTGTGATATTTATGGGTACTCTATCATGAATGAAAAGAAGACTTGAAAAAGTCTTGCTTGCCTCTCCAGGACTTAGCACCACAATTTCGGTCACATGAGACAACAGTCACACTGTGACATCCATGAACACAAGCAATTGCATCATTTTCTTTTAGAACCACTTTAAAAGCTAGCTGATGAGACCCGACAAGTTCAAAGACATCTCCTTAAAGAGACTCCAAAAGCATAACAGATAGAACTGGCTATTTGCAGGAATCAAATCCACGTCCACATCCAAACTAAAACTAGAGAATAGCTAGAATGCACATCTATCTAAAGTGCTACTTCTTGGGCTAAGGGTGTAATTCAGTGGTAGAGCACTTGCCTCATATGTTGAGGCCCTGGGTTCAATCTCTAGAACTGCAAAAATAAAACCCAAGGGCTACTTCTGGGGAAAAAAAAAAAAAAAGATTAATTGGGGCTTTAGAATTTCCTTTTAATAAATAGGAAAAAAACTCAGAAAGCAACACCTAAAATGGGAAAACCCAGCTACATTACTTCTTTCATTCATACACCAAGCCAAAGGCCAGTGTGACAGTTTTAGGGCTTTTTCTTCCATTCTTGAGTGGTTTCTTCCCTAGACACTCTAACAGTGAGTAAACAAAAGCACAAAGAGAAGCCTTAGAGCTGGCTGGCTCTGGGTTTGAACTGCAACTCAGCATTTATGTGACATTAGTAGCCTCGGCCTTCTTATGTGAAGAGGACCAAGGTGACCTACCTTCCTGGTGAACATGGAATAAAAGATTCATGTAAAGTAGGTACTGCATGTCTTCACTCTAGCCTCAGGTAGGGCTTTCTCTGAGCTTCTTCAGCATGCCAAGTATATTCCTGCTATTCATTTACCACACTGCACTGTCACTGTCTCTCTCTCTCTCTCTCTCTCTTTTTTTTTTTTGTATCAGAGATCAAACTTGGGACTTTTCGCTTGCAAGACAGGCGGTGGAACCCTGAGCCAAATCCCCAGCCTTGTCACTGTCTCTTTACACATTACAACAGACTAAAATATAGTTCATATAAAATAAATCGCTAAAAAGCCATTAATACTTTAAAATTTTTTTACAATTGTTCTACATTTAAATGACTCATTTTTCTATTAGTTTAAATAAAAGTACAAAGTTTTAAGTTGTTCCCAGTACCCAGACAGAAGCCTCAGGGGTACAGGGTCAAATTAGGACTGCTCTAATTTGGTTTCAACCTGGAAGGATATTTTAGATCAGAAAGAATCTTTAATTAATTTAGAGATGAGAAAACTGAAGTTTGAAAAAATCATCAAAGGCACAGAGCACATCGAAGAGTGAGTGCAAAATGGAAAGTAGGAAACTAGAGTCAGACCCAAACGCACTGGCTGTGAAACAACGACCATTCATTTACATGGCGTTTGTGCTTTTAAAATTAGGTCCAAGAGGCAAATTTAAGTAAGTTTAAAATATATTTTATATTAAGGCTTAAAGAACAACTAAGAGTAATACACATCACTATTGAGCTCAAATTTGAGTCTAAAAAGATTTAATCATTAACGAATGACTGATGCATGCAACTAACTGTCCATGGCGATACATAGTAGAAGAAACTGAAAGAGAGGTAAAAAAGTATGCAGTCAAAAAAGAGCCCACTTAGTCCCTAATGTAACTTAGACAATAGAGACCCTGCAGGCCTCATTATGCTGGATTAAGACCTTAATCCTAGGATGTAGATATATGCCAAACACTATGCTTTCAACTGTCTTCTAGACCTACTATAATATTCTTTGATACATACTCTGAATCATGGACTTGGATTATTGAGAAAAAGTAATAGTAATTTTAGAAAATAAACTATTTTAGGCAGAACTGCTGGAAGAGTAGTAGTTGAAGGTTCTTAGTGACATCATACATTAGACATTTTTCAAGCTACACTGGCATAAAGTAGATTTACCCAGAACTCTCTACCAAATATCCTACAATGCTATTTCCATATTCCCTCTTTCCCAGAGGCATTTCTGCTAAACAGTAAATTTACAGAGTCTATAAAGAATGTTTTTTCTTAATCTAAGAGAAACATTAAGTGAAAAGAAAGATCTGAAAAACACATTAGATGTAGAAGCTTAGAGTATGTGCCTCAGATATGGAGGCCTAAGAAACCTGACAATACTGGCCACCTGTGTGAGCCTGCGTGCAATGTCTTTAGTCTTCATTTTCCCCAAAGTAAAATAGGGATTACATGTAAAATAAAAGGCATGAGGATGAACCCAACCCACTTTGCTCAATCCCTGGCAAACGTGGTTAATAAGACAATGAAACTATCAATAATATTAATATTTTTAGTTTATGATATAAATTATATTTTCTAATAATTATTTTTAGCAATGAACCTTAATATACCATGAAGTTGATAAAGGTAAAAACAATAGAAACTATTTAGCAGATGATTAAATATATATAATAACTGTTTCAGTATTTATTTATTTTTGAGACAGGGTCTTGCTGTGTAGTTCAGGCTATTCTTGAGCTCACTATGTAGCCTGGGCTGGCCTTGAACTCATGGCAATCCTCTTGCCTCAGCCTCCCAAGTGCTGGGATTACAGGTGTGCACTACCACACCCGGCAAATGCTTCATTATTTAACACTGTAAAATAAATTAAAAAAAAATTAGCTTTCAAGCTAAGATTAAAATTAAAATGGTCAAAATTTACCCAAAATTAAGGCCGGGCATGGTGGCGCATGTCTGTAATCCCAGCACTCGGGAGGCTGAGGCAGGAGGATCACTGTGAGTTCAAGACCAGCCTGGGCTACATAGTGAGTTCCAGGTCAGTTTCAACTATACAGTGAGACTCTGTCTCAAAAAACAAAAACAAAAACAAAAAACAAAAACAACAACAAAAAACCACCACCACCACCAACAAAAATTTACCCAAAATTCAGTAGATCATTGAATAAAGAAAAAGTCAACTGCCTCTTTGTATTTCTTATATGTTTCTATACAAAGACACCAGTGCCCTCTACTTCTTTTTAAACATACTTGTTAAGTGGCAGCTTCATGGAGGAAGCACCTGGACGACTGTTCCCTCGCTGAACACCCCCTGTTTCAGCTGATTCTGGATCCTTAAAGTAAGGAGAAGAGGACTTGGGGTCATCCCAGTCTTCATCCCACTCATCGTCATCACCAGCCGCTGGAGGTGGGAACAGAAGATTATCAGTACAGAAAAATACAGCAGAAATGAAATTATTTAATTTCTGATAACTACTGAACTGAGCCAACCAAGTTTTTAAAAAGATAAAAAAATGATTTTATACAGAAATATACTATGGGAAGTACCGGCTTTGCAGCCAGAGCATTTTAAAGCCCGAATGTTGAATATTACAAAAGACAAGTTACAAACAACTTAAATAGAAAGTCAGGTCAACTAATTTTTGACAAGGGCACCCAGAAGACACAATGGGAAAAGGACCATTTCTTCAATAAATAGTGTTGGGAAAGAGCCGTGTGCGGTGGTGCTCTCCAGTAATCCCAGCAGTCGGGAAGCTAAAGTAGGAGGATCGCTGTGAGTTTGAGACCAGCCTGGGCTACATAGTGAATTCCAGGTCAGTCTCAACTGCATAGTGAGACCCTGTCTCAAAAAACAAAAAACAAAACAAAACAAAAATATAGTGTTGGGAAAGCTGAATGTCCATGTTCAGAAGAATGAAACTGGACCCTAATCTTATACCATGTATAAAAATCAACTCAAAATAGATTAAAGATCTAAATGTAAGATCTGACAGGGTAAAATTCTTAGAGGACATCACTGGGGAAAAATTCCTGTCACACCCAAAGCTCAGACAATGAAAGCAAAAATTATGTGTGACTACATCAAACTAAAAAGCTTCTGCACAGCAAAGGAAACAATAAATGAAAAAGCAGTTAATCAACTGGGAGAATGTATTTGTAAACCACATCTGGTAAGGGGTTAACATCCAAAAGACATAAGGAACTCTCACAGTTTAATAGCAAATAAATATGATAAACTCCCTTATGCACGGTTTCACTTTCTACAGTTTTAGTCCCCTGTGGTTGACCACAGTCTAAAATATTAAATGGAAAATTTCAGAAATAACCAATTCTTAAATTGCCCTGTTCTGAGATGCATGGTAAAATCACATGCCTTCCTGCTGCATCTGTTCACAAAGAAGAATCATCCCTTTGTACAACCTATCCACTCAGTACACACTAAGCACCCTTTAGCCAGTAGCCATCTGGGTGACCAGATGGACTGTTGTGGCATCACAGTACTCATACTCAATGTAGTCTACTTAATAATGGCCTCAAGGGACAAGAGAAGTGAGGCTGGCAATTCCAAAATGCCAAGAGAAGCAGTAAAGTCCTCCCTTTAGGTAAAAAGATGAAAATTAACAACCTTTCAATAAGCAGTTGTTAAGGTTTATGCTAAGAACCAACCTATGCATGGAAAAGGAAAAGATTATCCGTGGATGCTAGTTTTGTTGTTACACCTCACATTACAAAAGCTGGGCTGCAAGGCTAAAAGTGCTTAGTTAAGATTAGCCAATAGGTAGGGCCAGTGATTTAGCTTAGTGGTGCTATGCCTGCCTGGCAAACAAGATCCTGAGTTCGACTGCCGAAAACGGGATGATTAGCCAATAGGTAGGTATATGAAAAAGTGTTCACCATAAGTAATCAACAGAGAAATGCAAATCAAAACCACTATGAGGTGTCACCTCCTACCTATTTTAATAGTGATAATCAAAAAGTCAAGAAGTGAAAAGTGTTGGGAAGAGTGTGGAGAAAAGGGAACCCCTGTATGCTTCTGATTGGAATGTAAATTGGTACAGCCATTATAGAAAACAGCATGGAGGTTCCTAAAAAAAAAAAAAAAAGAACTACCTGATGACCCAGTAATCTTTCCTCTGGGTATATAACTTAAGAAAGAGAAGAAAGAAAAGAAAAGAAAAGAAAAGAGAAGAGAAGAGAAGAGAAGAGAAGAGAAGAGAAGAGAAGAGAAGAGAAGAGAGAAAAAAGAAAGAAAGAAAGAAAGAAAGAAAGAAAGAAAGAAAGAAAGAAAGAAAGAAAATCACCTCATAGAGATATTTTTTTCCCCTTTGTTCAATGCATTATTTGCAATAGACAGGCTATGGAATCAACCTACATGTTCATCAACAGATGCATGGATAAAAATTGCAAGGAAAAAAATATAAAAATATTATTCATTGTTGAAAAAAAAACATACTGTCCTTTGTGAACCTAGAAGACATGTTGATTGCAGAAAGCAAGGCATAGAACAAATACTGTGTGATTTCACTAATATGTGGAATCTTTAAAAAACTGAGCTTACAGAAGCAGAGAAGAATGGTGATTACTGAGTGGGGAGATGTAGACCAAAGGGTACAAAACTGCATTTATAAAAGATGAGTAAGTCAAGAGATCTTATGCAAACTACGAGAACAATCAACTAATGATACTGTATTATACTGGAAATTTGCCACGAGGCAGCCATGTGGTGATGGATATGTTAGTCGATGACTGTAGTCACTTCATTATGCATATGTAAATCGTGATATGGGGTATAGCTGTCAGCCTAAGGTGCTTGATTCTACGACTCCTTGACTGACAATGGATGAAAGATTGTAATTCATGACTTTTAGATCCAGAGAACTGCTATCTACATTTAGATCCAGGTTTGCTGTTAGTGAATCAGAGCAACTATGAGGCAATGTTTTGAATAAAATCTGTTTTTAATTCAGATGAGCCAGTGTGATATTGTGATGTAACAAACATGTATTTCATCTCTGCTTTCAGTTCCTAGCAAAGAGCTGCTAAAATACTTGCATTTTCTAATGATGGGGTGCTAAGACTGTTTTTTTGCCCCCTATAACAATTGTTTCTTGGTATCTGTAGGGGCCTAATTTCAGAACCCATCACTTTCAGATTCCAAGATCCTTAGATGCTTAAGCTTCTAATACAAAATGGTGCAATATTTGCATTCACTTATACGATTCTCCTTTATACTTGAAGTCATGTCTAGATTACTTAAAATACTTATGCAATGAAAATGAATGCTATGTAACATACAGTTGTTATGCTGCATTACTGAGAGAATAATGACAAGAAAAAATCTTTACACATTCAGTACAGATAAAATTATTTTTTTTAATACTCTAAATAAACTTGAATACAGGGCTGAACACAGGGCTGGTGAATCTGAGGTTTGGGAACCTGAGATTGTGGGACTCAGGGCTGCAAAGTTGCAGATGAAGAGGACTGAGAGCACTTGTTCTCTGTCATTTCTGACACAGTCCTAACCCCTTGGTGTTTTAGGGTGAGAGCAATACCTTTCAATCAAATGAGACTTGGGCCAGGGATTTAGCTCAGTGGTACCGCTGCCTGCCTTGCAAGTGTAAGAACCTGAGTTTGATCCCCAGTACCAAAAAATAAAGAGGAGACTAATTGTGAGTTCCTAGTTGGGGGCTAGTCACCAGAAAGACTAAGCCATTATTAAAAGCTTACAAATTTTCAGCCTCAACCTCATTCTCTGGTAAGAGCAGACAATGAATTAATCAATGGCACTTACATGATGATGCCACCAAAAAATTCCCTGAGCACCAGGATTCTGAGAGCCTCTGGGCTGGTGGGCACACAAGATGTGGAGGGTAGTGTCCAGGGCACATGGAATCTCCAACTCCTTCCCCATGCTGTGCCCTTTGCATCTCTTCATCTGGCTGTTCATCTGTATCCTCTGGTTTATCCTATAATAAACTGGCACCAGTAAGTGCCTTCCTGAGTTCTCTGAGCTGTTCTAGAAAATTAATGGAACCTGAGGAGGGGATAATGAGAACCCCCCTGGCTGAATCAGGTAGACAGTGTCAGAACTGAAATCACAGGACCCTCAGCAGGTTATAGAATGACTTGGTGTATGGGGTTTTGTCACAGAGGTGTTCTGTGTCATGCTGAGTACAAGAGTAGCAAAAACAGTCTGGCTTTCCTGTCTCTCACCCAGTTCCCTGTTACTTACAGAAGGAGCCTCTCCTCACCTGGTCCTTGGTAGGCCTGGGGGTGTCCGAAGGCAGTGTCCCAGTTGTTGGCAGTGTTTCTCTGGGCACCAGCCCCCTCTTGCCGAGCTCCCCAGACATCTGAGCTCTCCCAGTTCCCAGATTTTGGGGCATTCCAGGCTGACCAGGGGTCATTGCCACCACTGACCTGCGTGTGGGGAAGAGAGAATATATGTGACTTATGGAAACTATGACTAAATTTACCTACATGGCAACTGAGAGCAAGAGGAGTGCTGAAAAGGAAAAGAACAGAAATTCATTTAAAGTAATTTAAAATCTAAATAATTCCCCCAGAGCATGTAGAGAAGCACAACCAGCAGCATCAATCTGCTTTTAATGATATTAACATTTTGCTGTATTTGCTTAGTAACTATGAAAATATAACAAGTACAATGGTACCTTGGTTCATGAATATTTTTGTTTGCAAACAATTTGGTTTGCAAAGAGAAGCATTGGACAAAATTTTGTTTTTGTCTTCCAACTGTATGGGTGATAAACATGACCATGGCTATCTTTTCCACACAAACACAAATGTGGCCATCTGTTTGAAAATTACAGAACAAATTAAGTTTGTGAGCCAAAGTTCCACTGTTTTAGACTTAGTTAAAGTCCTCCATTTTTCCTTCCAAGAATTCATTACTCTTTTGGGCTGTATATTTATTCTCACCCATGTTTCTATACTTGCATGGCATGTGTGCACATTCATGGTTTTTTACTTTTTTATTTTTTGGGTACTGGGGATCAAACTCGGGACCTTGTGCTTGCGAGGCAGGTGGTGGCACCACTGAGCTAAATCCCTGGCCCCACATTCATGGTTTTAAAATCAACCAACAGATATCATACTGAATGTGTCTTCACAAGCTGTTTTCTTCATTCCACATTGTATTTTGAGATTATAAATGCTGATAAGAACCTGTTTCATCCAATGTAACTGTTTCCTAGCAACTCATTCTATTTTTAAATAGGTTTTAATTTTTATTTAAAAAAGTAATACATGGCTGGGGATTTAGCTCAGTGGTTCTTTCACCTGCCTCACAAGAACAAGGTCCCGAGTTCAATCTCTGGTACCAACAAAACAAAACAAAACAAAACAAAAGTAATACATGCACAGTAAAAAAACATTCCAAATGGAATGAAATAATATGCAGTTAAGCAACATGACTACCTCGTTACGATGCCAGTCATTATCTGTACAACAACTACTACTGTCAAAAAATAAAATCACAAGTTCAGTCATAGATGTAAGTGGCTTTTATTTGAGATTCCTAAATCAGGCAGTGTACATCTATAAAAGAGAAAGAGAGTACCTACAAGGCAAAGGCAGAACAATGGTTTTGTAAGGTGGGAACAGAAAATAACAACAAAAACTGAGAGGCAAACATGAGCTTACTTCAGGAAACATTTTTTGTAAGGATTAAAACCCTTTATTTGGAAAGGATTAGTTTTTGTTGTAAAGAGTTAAAAAAAATTTTTCTTTATTTCCCATAATTCAGGCAGACCGGAATGTTCAATTTCCAGGAAAAACTGGTTTGTGTTGGGACTAATCTGCTTCCTTAACGTTTCAGTTTGACTATGTGGAATTTAGAAGGAGTGTCTCCATTTTGGTTTGGAACTAGTGCAGAAGCTCAGTCTAGAGGAATGTTCTCCCATAATTTTTGTTTCACACTACTAACAAATTCCTTATTTATTTATTTATATCTCAGACACAGAGATCTTTTTCATTTTTAAATTATACTTTCTATTTTGTATTTTTCCCCTTTTTACTAGCACAAAACATTCTTAAGTCAATACACATGGATACAACATCCTTTTATGTGTCCACAGAATTTCACTGCATTTATTTCCTACAATTTAACCAGCATACACTGATGCTTATCTTGCTTTCTGTGTAATAGTGCAATGTACAACTGTGTACCTTTTCCCATGTATCCAACAGATTTGTGAAATTTCCAGAAGAAAAATCACTAAACTAAGGCACATGCATATTTAGAATTGACAGATTTTGTCAAATTGTTTTCCTAAGAGATTTGTTAAATTCCCACATTTCTACTAACCTGCTGAGGGCTTTGAATTGCATAAAAGGAGGCTATCATACCCCCAAATTATTTTGAATAATTTTCTCCCACTGTCCCTTTATTTTATAATTTACTTAATACTGCCATGGGCTAGCATGGGTTCTTAGCAGCATGTTGATGAAAATCACATGTAGGCCAATTTTAAAGCTAAAATAAAATGAAAGAAACATTAGTACCTACTTCATAGGCAGTGGCCCTAGAAAGAACAACACAGTTACTCCACATAGTGAGGGGGGGATCTCAAAAGGATATCATTAATCATTCATGGAATTTTTTTAAGGGGGGCACAGGTGCTGGACACTGTGAAATTATTACAATGGTCTTATGCAGTTTGCCCAAAGGCAAACTGCTTCTTTATCTACGAGTGCATAGGTTTATTACTTTCATTAACATTTGCTCTTTCCCCCTCCGGTTATCCCACAGTTTAGCTGCTTACTTGTTTCCTATCAGGCTGCTACTTCAAAGTCCTATGAATGCCCTGTCTTGATTATATACCTGGATTCCAGAGGCAGACTGTCTAGGTTCACACTCCATCTCTGTAGTGTGCTGTTTGGCCTTCAGGAAGTGCTTTAACCTACTTTAAAGTCTGTTAGCTTTCTGCCTCAATATTACTTAGACCATTCTGGAACACGCAATATAAATGGCATCTTATTTCCACACTACTTTGGAGCCTACTAGACCATTAAAATATCTATTTATTTTTACCCAAGAATTTTACTATCTTTAAAACCACCTTGTGGAGTGTGGCCGTGAATGCCTATAAGCCCAGCACCCAAGAAGATGTGGCAGGAAGATTGACAAGAGGTCAAGGCCAGCCTGGGCTCCATAGGGAGTTCAAGGTCAGCCTGAACTACAAAGCAAGACCCTGTCTCAAAACAAAACAAAACACAAAAACCCCCTCCAAAATGAAAACAAGAAAACAAAAAACCTAAAATCATCCAAACTTTAGCATTAGAGTGTTCAGTTTTAAAATGTTTCATTTGAGTCATCTTAAGTTTACTGATAAAAGTGAGAGAAAAGTGTTTTTTCACAATTTCAGTACTGAAATTTAAAAACATGAAATAGTGAGTTTTCCCTTTCATTCAAGTATTTTTTTAACTAAAAGTTTTGGTAATTTAAAAAATTTTTATTAGTATATAATTTGCAGTACATGATTACAGTTTCTAGTACACGATTACATTCACTGTGGGGAGTTGGTACACAGATATAATACACTTTAATTTTTTTTTTTTTGGTAACAGGGATGGAACTCAGGACTTTGTGCTTGCTCAGTGGCACCACTGAGCTAAATCTCCAGCCCCATTTTAATTATTTTTTTACCCTCTCCCCTTCCCTCAATCTTTTGGTTCCCTTCCCTAAATTACCATCTTTAAAAGGTCAACTATCTTCAGTACTTTTGACATATATTTTGCTATTTACATTTTGGAATTCTCACATAAGAGAAACGATGTGACAGTTAAGCTTGTGTGTCTGATTTCTTTCACAGCATTACTTTTCCTACAACTGACTCAAGTTTGTCCTTTATGGCAGAGGAGTTCCACATTTTCTTTATCCACTCATTTGTTGACAGATGACCCTGGGACTTTCAAGATTTAGCTTTATGAGCTGTGCTGCCATAAATATGGGTATCCATGTATCACTGTGATACGTTGTCTTTAACTCTCTCAGAAGATACACAGAAGGGGAATAACTGGGTTTAATAGAATTTCTATTTTTAGCTTTTTGAGGAATCTCCATACTGATTTCCATAGTGGTATAACTGTTGATAAAGTTTAAAAAGCAAGAAAGTTAAAAGAGAAATTTGCAAAAAAAAAAAAAAATTACACTAATGGTCTACTGTACTGCATATTTCTCTGAGTACTAAATTAAATGCTCTGTAAGGGCCAAGAGTAGCATACTCAACACACTGGAAGATTTAACACTAAATTTAAAAGGTATCTTATCCCCATAAGACAAATGAAGAACTGTATTTGCATTGGCTTTGTATGAGACTAACTTAAAGTTATTCACTGAAAGGATTTACAGCATTGGCTGTTTCATCAGAAAGGAGATAGGCTGGCACCTGACTGTAGAGCCACAAGCAACACAGAAGGGAGTCAGAGTGACCACAAAGGGAGGGAGTGACATAGTGTATGACAACTATAGGAAATCTGTACACATAACAGATACAGCTATTTGTTGCTTTTTTCTGAGAAATGCAACACGGTGACTGCATCATCGTGTGAGCACACAAATCCAAATGGTATAGCCTACTGCATACTTGAGCTATACGGATTATATGTGATGTAGCTTAGTACTCCTAGGGCCATGATGAATAAAACATAAGATTAAATCAAATATAAGAGAAAAGGAGTCAATCAAGAGACATAGTAAATGTGATATAGGTGAGATTCCTGCCAGTGTAAACAGGCAGTGTTTTACAGTAAATATTAAAAAAAATAAGTAGAAATACACCCTAACAGGATAAAAGAGCATATTAAATACATAAACTAGTAACAGAGTCACTAATTACTGTTACTGAATATCATGTAATTGTGTGTGCTATGCTTTTATATGGCAACATAGCACGTTCTATTATACCAGCATCACCACAAACGTGTGAGCAACATACTGCACTATGATGTTAGGACAGACAGCAACATCATCACTAGGCAGTTAAGAATTTCACCTTCATTATAATCATGGGGCCACCATCACATGAACAATCCATCACTGACCATAACTCGATATAATTAAAAAAAAATACAATAAATGTTTAGATTATTTAAAAAATATACTAAAGAACACTGCCATGAATTTCCTTCAAAATATTCCTCTTTGCTTTGAATACACTTAATCCCACTGTGCGTGTCATTTTTTGAAATATTTCAAGACATTCTCTTTTTGTGAGTATCTTTACTTAAGCTGTTATAGCTTCCTTGATGTCCTGAATTATATCAAAATGTTTACTGTCCTGATCATTTTTTACTTTGGGGAGCCAGAAGTGGTGAAAAAGGTGAATGAGGACACACTGCAATGTTTTTATGAGCCTTTTTTGTTAGATGACTTTTATCAGTTGCATTCACTGTATTTT